CAAAATAGTTTTTTTCCTTTTTTTTTTTTTTTTTTTTTTTTTTTTTTGTTTTTTTGTTTAACACAAATGATATCGTAATGTGCTGTATTTTATTTGTATACAAAACAATACAGTGTAATATGCCTAAACTTTCATCAGCCACAGACCTCAAGCCAAAGTAGATGAAGATTTTTCTACTCAAATATTTCGTAGCTTACTCAACTCTGCCACTACATATTACCCTTCCACATCTGTGACTCTCAAGAGTAAACTTTACACAATCATCTCATCTGCTCTGCTCTGACGTAATGAAGAGGATATGGTGCTAATTAGTAAGAATCTCATGTGAGACACGCACACAAAGAAACAAAGAAAGAGAGGGAGAGAGGGAGAAGAGTTACACGATGACTATTTTCAGAGTGTATTACGACATACTTATTTCGTCATATGCGCAAAGTGTAAAGTCCCCGAAGGATTTACATTCACCCCCGACTAAGGTAGACTCAATTGATAGCAATTCAGACACCGTTTTACGTTCTCTTCAAACTTTTGACAATTGAAATTTGTTTGCTATGCCTGTTCAAAGCTGGCTGACATGAGTGTGGATAGGCAATCAACATTTCGTCACCCAGGCTCTACACTCTACATAGATGCTCCTTAGTTGAAACTTTTCTTTCTTAGTTGTCGTGCCGAGTGCTAGCCCTAACAAGTGGTCTTTTTGTGTTCGATTTTGGATTTCCATCTTGCTCCGGTTTTTTTTTACTTTTCTTTTCTTTTTTTTTTTTGAGTTTTGTCTGTCTGTCTGTCTGTCTGAGAGCTCGCAGACAATACGAAAAGAAATCAAAATACATCAATCACAAAAGCGGAAAACCGATGAAATAAAACAAATAGAAACCGGGGCAACCGCGCTCTTTCATTTCGAGTGCATTGAACTGGCTCATTCCTGCCGAAGCTAGGCGCGTACAAGCATATACATCAATGTGGATGGATACCGATCAACGATTCCCTACAATATTAGTTTTTTTTTCTCTCGAATTTCTGAAACTCGTGGATAGAGTCTTCGATCCGGCGGTAATGTCAAATCCCAACAACTTGTTCCAGCTAGAAAGTTTTCTGGGTTATGCTCTTGACTTTCTCCAAGACCACTAGAACTTGCTTTATGGCTCAGCTACGTCTTTCGTGTAGTTCACTATTTAAGAAACATTATATTTTACTCTCTTCCGACTGAAGTGGTTTTTAAGAAATCGGTTGCAAAAACAGTTTCGGCAAAAAAGCAAGAAAGAGTAACTGAAAAGTTTTGTGGACTAAAAGTGGTCTCTTGTTGGTCACTGCTACTCAAAGAGAGGTCGGGTGAAGGCGACGTGACCAAGCTCATGCACATCATCAATCAAGGGGTACTTGAAGTGTCGCTGTGTGTGAATAATACAATTGCATTGAGTGGTCGTGGGCGGTGCTCAAAAATATAGTTTTGGCAGTGGCAGACCGTCAACAAAAAAAAAATAACTCGCAAAATCGAGCGCAACCTTTAACAAGCTTCCTCCAACACAATCGTTCCCACAAGCCAACCACAACTACGCAGATACAACTTTGGCTAACCATGTCTACTTCGACTCCACCAGCAATTGTCTTTACTGATTTTGACGGTACTGTCACATTGCAAGATTCCAATGACTACTTAACTGACACTCTCGGAATGGGTGAAGCCAGAAGAAGTGCTATTGGACAAGATATCCTCGACGGCAAGACCAACTTCCGTGATGGATTCAAAGAGGAGATAGATTCAGTCAAGACCCCATTTAACGAATGTCTTTCCATCTTGTTAGCCAACATTAAATTGGATCCTGGATTCAAGGATTTCTACAATTACTGTAACGCCCACGGTATCAGAATCATTGTCGTTAGTTCCGGTATGAAACCTTTAATCTCGGCATTGTTGCAACAATTGGTTGGAGCTGAAGCCTTGAGCCATATCGAAATTATGTCCAACGACGTGCGTATTGATGATAATGGAGCCAACTGGGAACTTTTGTTCAAACACCCTGATTCTCCATTTGGCCACGATAAGGCACAATCTATTAAAGAGTGGTTGAACAACCATGGATTTGACACTGCTGAAGTTAAAGATGATGGATCAACTCAGCCAAAATTGTTTTATTGCGGTGATGGAGTTTCCGATTTGAGTGCGGCTAAGGAAACCAATTTGTTGTTTGCTAAACATGGTAAGGATTTGATTACTTATTGTGTTAGAGAGAAGATCCCATACACTGAGTTTAACGATTTCCAGGATATCTTGAGCAAAGTGAGGAAGATTATTGATGATGGTGAACCAATTAAATCGTTTGTAGAGAACCCATAGAGACTATAGATTAAAATGAGAAGACAGAAAAAAAATAGACCACTCCGCTGTTTTTTTTTTTTTAACACGTAAGCAGTAAGAAGTGGATATTGACAGAGCTAAGGGATGCTGGGCAAATTCGGTATGTTCAATTAGAGTGTTAATTCCCAGTAATTACACACACTTTAAGGGGGGGGGGCATTTTCTGCCTCACTGGTGCCTGTAATTATAGTGTTTGTGTAATTTGCCTCTTTCGTAAATTACCGGAATGGAATAAGAAAAGCATACAGTACCACCCAATTGAAAGATTGATTCCTTACTCAGTAGGTATGCACTACAATTATATTCCTAGCGTACTTTGTTTCTATTCGCCCTGAGGCGTAAATGTGAAGATGTCAAGAAGCAGATGTTGTACCGGTCCTTGATGCCACATCTGAGCAAAAGCCTTCCTACATTTTCCGATACCCCCCTCCCCTCTCTCAAGAAAGAAAAAAAAAAAATAAAAATAAAAATAATAAAAAAAAATGGAATCGAATCGAATCACACATCCACACCATTTTGGATATAACGAACACCAAGAAAACAAAACGCAGGAGAAGATCATCTGTAAACTTTTGTTTAGACATAACAAGAGCACTTCCATAACACAAGTCTCAACCTTCGGAAATGACGAACTCCGTCGACCTTGCTAACGAGATTCACGCTGCATCACCTGACACACAAGCAACGATACAGGAGAAGCAAACCAGTACAGAGATTATACAACGAGCAGACCATGAAGACTCGTTCTCCATACACGAGCGTAACAAATCCACTCATAATAATGATCGTGAAACATTTAGTGTAAATTCCAACACACCGACACCCTTGACACCACCACCGCAGAAAAGAATCACTGAAATAACCACCAAAACCAAAACGATTCTACGCAAATACGCATCATTCATTGGACCTGGACTAGTCGTTTCGGTCAGTTTCATAGACCCAGGTAACTATCAAACATGTGTTACTGGGGGAAGCTCAAATCAATTTTCGCTTTTATTCATTGTGTTTTTATCCAACTGTATTGCAATTTTCCTACAAAGTCTTTGCATCAAATTGGGGAGTGTTACAGGATACGATCTCGCTCGATGCAGTCGAGAATTTCTCCCGCGGAAACTAAACTTGTTGTTGTGGGTGCTTGCAGAAGCCGCCATTATAGCTACTGATATTGCTGAAGTTATCGGTAGTGCCATTGCCCTCAATATCCTATTGCGGATCCCATTACCGGCTGGAGTCGTAATCACCATCGTGGACGTGTTGTTTGTGCTAATGGCATATCGTGCAGACACGTCGTCGATGAAGTTTGTGAAGATATTTGAATATTCAGTCGGGGCGTTGGTGGGTGTTGTTGTTGTGTGTTTTTGTATACAATTGTCCAAGATCCATGCTGACGCGAGAGATATTTTTAGAGGCTATGTGCCGAGTAAACAAATGTTTGAAGGGAGTGGGTTAACTATAGCCACGTCTATTGTTGGTGCCACAGTCATGATCCACTCTTTGTTTTTGGGTTCGGGTTTGGTTCAACCGAGATTACGTGAATATGACGTCAAGAATGGATACGTCAATTTGGACAAGCTTGTCAACGATGACAACAAGAATAGCCGAGATGAGAAATCCGTAACCTCTTTAGCTTCCACTTCCTCCTGCTCAGATGAGGAAAAGAAGGAGTTGAAAAGAAAGCAATACGAAAAAGAAGCTGACTTCTTTTACCACAACTACAAACCATCTTACAAAGCCATTAACTACTCCTTAAAATACTCCATAATAGAACTCGCACTCAGTCTATGCACATTGGCTCTATTTGTCAACTCGGCAATTATGATAGTTGCCGGGGCAACAATGTACGGAACTCCCGAAGCCATGGACGCCGACTTGTACACTATCCACGACTTGCTCTCTCGATCCATTGCCCCCGCAATGGGAACAATTTTCATGGTTGCTTTATTATTTAGTGGTCAGAGCGCCGGTATCGTTTGCACCATAGCTGGACAGGTTGTATCTGAGGGCCACATCAACTGGACGTTGAAACCGTGGTTGAGGCGACTTATTACGCGATGCATATCGATTATTCCTTGTCTTGTGGTTAGTGTGTGCTTAAAGAGGGAGGGGATGTCTATTGCATTGAACATATCGCAGGTTATCATTTCAATTTTGTTGCCCCCCTTAACGGCACCATTGATTTACTTCACATGTTCAAAGAAATTCATGAGGGTGAAGTTGAGTAATGATGATGAATATCAACTAGGTGCGGGGAAAGACGTGTTTGTGGATGAGAATGGTAATCGGTACAAGTACATGACCAATAATTGGATCACTACTATATGTGCGGTTGCTGTGTGGATCTTGGTTTCGATGTTGAATATTTATGCGATCTATGATATGGCGAAAAATGGTGTAGCTGGGTAGAGATGTGTTCATGTATTGAAAAGGGAAATTCTTTTTTTTTTTTTTTTTTATAGATTACGGGTCTAAATTTACATCGTATTGGAGGATAGGAAGGCGATGTTGGGGACCAATCTCTGTTGTGCTCGTATGACGATCCAACGATTGGTTACATACTCAAATAAGAAAAGAATTTCGTGATAACCTAGGAAAGCATCGACATAGTACTACAGAATTCATTGCATACAACCTGAAATATGTAAGTCCTCCATGATTAAAATGCACACATATCTAAATATTTATATAAATTCACACACGAAATAAAAAAGTAAAAGTAAAAGTAAAGGATCTACTCAGGATTCAGCTCTATAGCAAGAACTCTCTTTACCACCCGGGATCATAATTCGACAAGTTATTCAACATGATCCCCTGATCTTTCTCTCCATTGCCACTATTCTGATTAGATACACCATTAGATGGCGATGCAAACAAATACTGGTTGCTGTTGCTATTATTTTGCCCATTGGTGTTTCCATTAGCATAAGCACCAAATTGTGCTGAAGTGCTTGGCGTCATGAACGATTGGGGGTTTGAGTTTTTGCCAACATTGAAACTTAATGGGGTCAAACTTGACATATTGGAGTTGCCATTGGTTTGTGAATTGGGATTGTGGTTATTCATCATTGGGCCATTGCTTTGGTTGGTGGCAGCTGTATTGTTGTTGTTACTTATATTGTTGCTGCTATTACTCACCCCATTCCTAAGTATGTGCGATGGATTCAAAGTCGAGGCGCTGGTGCTGAGAGGAGGCATTAATGAACCATTCCCAAGTGAGCTATTCCCTGCCAATCCACCTCCAAAAAGAGAAGATGAGGATAGGGAGTTTGATGTGTTGGAATAGTTGCCACTATTTCTATTTGAGCCATTATTGATTCCATTGACTGACCCATTTGGCAAACCAAAAGTGTTGCCTAAACCGGAGCCACTATTCCCCATTGCAAATGAGTTCCCGGGAGTACCAAAGTTGTTCAACAAATTATTAGCAGACGTTTGCGTGTCTGCATTCAAGTTCCCATTTGAGTTAAAATCACCATTGGATGGAATCCTATCTTGTATACTATTGATTGGTGGCAACTGTGGACCTTGATTTTGAATTTGGGAAAATTGACCATTTCCCTGGTTGGAGTAGCTCAACCCATTTGATGTCTGACCATTGATCGACGACGTAGGCGAGATATTGTCCAAGGAATTGTTGGGTAAGTTCTCACTCCCGTCTACTACTTCTGTTGCGGTGGCAGCTGCAGCTGCAGCTGCGTAAACACCGTCATTGTCATTCAACATTGGGGACAATGGAATTGACGGCCCTGGAATTCCGGATCCTGAAGAGTCATTCAAACCACTTAGTAACCAGTTATTCATTGCCGCCTTCTTATTCAAAGGATGTTGACTGATCGATCCATTTTGTTGAAAATTTGCTCGCTCTGGTGGAGTGCTAGAGATAACTTGTGAAGGGCCATTTGGGTTTTCTCTTCCATATAAATTCTGTCTCAAAGAATCCAAAAACTGAGGACTGAATGCGCTCTTGTACTCCACCAACAACTGAGACACAAATGAATCAAGCATTGCCGTTTTTTGATTATCAGTAATGTTTCTGTTATCCAAAATGTAATATCTGATCTTTTGGCGAACTTCATTTTGCAAAGCCTGGATTGCAAACAATGATTGTGATTGCGACTGGGGCTTGGGTATAGGTAATGCTTGTGCTTTGATCTGGGAAGTTGGAGAGAGCTTGTACTTCCCATCATGTGGTGCTTGTATAGGATGCAAAGCTTGCGCTCTTTCTGTGCCTGCTTTTTTTGGTGCTCTAGGTGACATTGAATGCTTGTTCTGTTGAGGAGACCTTTGCTGCTTTGGATCTTGAGCAGACTTTCTGCGCTGATTCTTCCCTGAAACTGTATGTGGTTTGAAGTCACTCTTGGATGACTGTTGAAGTAAAGGAAGAGGGAGTTCAAGGGGACGTGTTGTCAGCTGCTCGTCTTGTGATTTTCTCTTTTTATTTGTACTCTTTATAAGAGGGGCTCTTCGTTTCTTGGGTAAACTGATAGAGTTGGAAGCTGAGTTCTCGGATGAAGTGGCCTCTTGCACACCTGTTGACCCCTCTTCGCCTGTCAGATTTAGTGATGTGGGAGGACTATCTTTGAATTCGTCAGCGCTTCTGTTAGAAAATGCAGAAACAGAAGAAGTCTGGTCGGTACCACTCGAAGTATTTTTATCCTGGCTTCTTGCTCTCGATTCCATCTGCAACTTTTTGTCCATATTGCTCTTACTTAAATTCATTCCAGGGCTCAAGGACGAAAGGGAGGGAGGAGGGTACAGCAGCTGTTGCTGTTGCTGTTGCTGTTGCTGTTGCGGCTGATGCTCCTCCTCTTGCAGGCTATAAGCTTCTAATTCTGGTTGGTCTTGTCGTTTCGGTATACATGTTTCACCGCCTTGAACTTCAACAGTGTGATCATGGCGATCATCGATCACCAGGATAGACCAAATCTTCTGTCTGCTACTGAGATTTGCTCTGATTTTGAAAGGACAGCTCGTGTGTCGCCTTATTGGAATCTTTGTGTTTTTGTTCTTGGACTCGATTATCTTTGTCTTTTTCTCTTTATTTTTACACTTGAAAATGATCTTGGTGGCGTCGGATCTTTCGATCACAACGTGAATACCTTTGTTTTGTAGACTCTCCTGGAGCCAAGGTTTTATGTCGTCCTTTGATGTAAAATGTTTGCTTTCCAAATTTAGGTCATCAAGGGGTATCCTATAAGAAGTCTTTTCACTCATTTTGGAAGGCAAAACGATTCAAAGATAAGATGGTAATCGAAGTGTTCTTGTTTTGAGGTGTATACTAGCGTGTTTGTATAATTGAATCTCTCAGCATAAGCATCCTCCGAAGATTGTGGCAATATTATGTCGTTTGAAAACCTTGAAACCTTTTTAATTAAGACGCAGATCTTGCGTATGAACTATGGGGTGATCTTCTTGATAAGGATATCTCACGACCAGCACCGACTGAGATTTTAAATAAAATGTAATCCAAGACGCCCTTACCACCAAATGCTTTGCTTTGCTTTGCTTTGGTATGTGGGTTGATGAACTCCGTCAGTTGCAGCAAGCGAAAAGCGAAAAATAAAAAAAATTAAGAAAACGAAATCCGTTCAAGTCGAGTAACCTTGTTCAATGGACTTCAACACACTTTCGATGCAACCTTTGATTACTATTTGTGAAAGCCTTGGCCAACGCTTCTCTTAGTGATAGTATACGTTTAAGTCTGTTTGATGGATTGTGGGTATAGTCTTAGCACAAACCTCTATTGATAAACAAAAAAGCACAGTAAGGCAAGAAAGGAGGAAAAAAAAAAAATAAAAATAAAAAAAAATGGAACTCAGGAGAAAAGAAAATTTGTGGAAAAATGGAAATCCGTCGGTTTTGATGAAATTGAATAAAATTTGTCCTATCAACACAAACACAATACATATGTATATATATATATACATATCGTGGAGCAAAACAGACATAAGACACAAAAAAAAGTTTTGAAGCCGTCAGACGTAAGATACAAGAAAGAATTCACTTCCTACGAGGCTCTTGCAAGGTTTACCAGTCCCATTTGCCACATCTACATTTTCATTGTCATCCCCCTTGCGATCAGAAGAATACTCTGCATTGGCATACCAGAAAAGGCACAAGACTCGAGGACAAAACCTCTCACGCATATTATTTTAAACTCTCTATTTGGTTCTGGTTGGTGTCTCAGTTTTCCATTTGGATCACAACTATATTTCTCTCAAAGTGACGATTAGCAATTGCACTTCTGTTTTTGTTTGTGGCAGATACATGTCATTTTACACAAGCCACTTACAAATTGACTCAAGCGAATGCAGACCATCTTTTTCGTCGCAGACCTGAACTTGGAAGCTAGCACTCACTTCATGTAATTCCTGTGTCAGTATCAGTACATTTGCGCAGTGCTGTTGTCTCTACTTATTGATCTACCACTGCTACAATTTGTATTTATCTAATTTGCTCGATTGTCGATCTTCAAAAACCTATGACGTTGCACGATTACACAAAAAGAAATTGCAATTGTGTGCAATGTTCTGGGGCAATTGCGTCATTATTAATGAAGGTATAGACAGAGGGTTCATGCAAATTTACACCCAACTGTATGTATAAAAATCCTGGATAGAATTGAAATGTAATAGACTTACCCTCAGTTTGGCTTTCGTATGCTCCATCCAAAGTCGACTCTCTTCGATTTGAGAAAAAAAATAAAAAAAAAAAAAAGAAATTGGTAACAACTTGCATACCTAATCAAGCACCGAAATCATCCACAATAAGCAGGTTGAATTTCAGTTTATCCAATTCATCTTCGGTTCTCTAATACTTTAGCTTCGATACTGGAATCAGTATTTTTGTAGCATGTCGTTTGTTTTATTCAGCAATCACCTATCCACCATGAAAGCCAAATTTCCCAAACTCCACTTGAAATACAGAGCGTAAGTAAAACTGCCAACAAGTTCCCGAATGAATCATGGTACAAAGCACCAGAATTCAAACTCATAACACACAAGCTAGCCATACGGGAAAGCAAGGTTCACACCGCGCTTTTGCATTTGGGAGGGGAAGGTTGAAGCATCCTTTAGTGGCTCCTTTCCAATATCAAATACATTTGCAACATCCCTTGCTACCTTGACAAGCAAGTTCCTTTTGTTCCTCATTTAATGTTATGGAAAGTCTATTGAGAACGCGTTCGAGCATCTGTTTGATCTCTTCATCATCAAGGACTGTTTCCCTAGAGAAGACTGAATTTCTCATACAAACTTTCCAATGTGCTTTTTGTTTCGTTTTCTGCGTACGTGTCTATGTAAACGGCTACAGTGGCACCCACACCCAACGCTTCGAACAATGCAGCAAGTAGTCACATTTAGATCAATTAGTTGTCAGAATTTAGAATTGGAATTGATATGTGGGAAACTTTGATGCCAGCAGCAGAAACTACAAAGATATTCAAGATTGTCAGGTGGTGCTCACTACCAGATTTAGTCGTGAATCCTAGTTGCAAACTCACTGCTGAGCTGAGATTTTTTTTTTTTTTTGGAGGCACACAATCACCAAAGTTATTTTGCTTTGCAACTGTGACGTAGTCCACAAAAGTTGTAACGCATGCAGCGTCCCAATTATAGAGAGAACTACTGGCTATAGTATGGATCGTAAAATGTATATTTACAAGGCTGCACCACATCGATTCTACAAACAAAGTGGACCTCAAACAACCAAAATGAGCGGGCTCTTCCACGTTGTAGTCCATTTCTGTACTCTCCCTGCTCTCCCTCTCTCTCCACACTTGCAAAACTCTCACACTTACTCCAACACAACCTTAGCTCCCAAACCTTCCAAGGTGGCCTTTATCTTCTCAGCATCCTCCTTTGCAACATTCTCCTTCAACACCTTTGGTGCACTTTCCACAAACTTTTTACTTTCAACCAAACTCAATCCCAACAACCCTTTAACTTCCTTAATGACCTTAGGTTTAGACTTGGCGTCAAAACTCTCCAACTTGATGGCAAACATGGTCTTTTCTTCAACTGGCTGTTTAGCTTCTTCCTCTTCTGCTGGGGCAGCTTGGGCTGCTGCTCCGCCGGCACCACCTGCTCCGGCTACTGGTAATGCAATGTCACTGATGTTGAGCTTCGATTTCAATTCATTAACTAATTGCGACGTTTCCAAAAGGGTCAATGTGGAGATTTGATCCACGATTTGAGTTATCTTTGGATCTACTGGTGATGATGGTGATGATGATTCAGTTGGTGCAGCGGCGGCGGTGGTGTTGGTGGTGTTGAATCTGACTGATGTTATGACAGATGGGGATCTCTTTGCAAGGGAGCTTCTAAGACTACGTGATATGGTTTGACGAATGACTGACATATTGGGATTGTGTAGGCAGTAATGTGGTTTAAAGCTTCCAAGGTTGAAAAATTTTTAACAGACGAGATTGGAAAAAAAAAAAAAAGTTTAGTTGAACCTTTTTTTTTTAACCATTGGTGCACGCATCCCTCTATCAATGGAATGGTGAAAAATTACAAAACAGCCAATGCTCGCCATTTCGAGTCAGTTCTGCCCTTTACTCTTACACACACACACATAGGGCATTACTTCACCCGCACGATGGCTTCATTCAGATTCTGCGCAGAATGCAACAACATGTTGTACCCAAAAGAAGACAAAGACGATCAACGTCTCCTCTATGCATGTCGAAATTGCGGATACACCGAATTGGCAGAAAACTCGAAAGTCTACCGTCATGAATTGATGACCAACATAGGTGCTACTGCTGGTGTGGTGGAAGATATTGGAAATGATCCAACTTTGCCCAGGAGTGATAAAGAGTGTCCGCAATGTGGGAATCGTGATTGTGTGTTTTTCCAATCACAACAAAGACGGAAAGATACCAGTATGATTTTGTTTTTTGTATGTTTGGAATGCAAGAATGTGTTTCAGGCATGATGTGGTTTGGGGCATTTGTAGGGAGATAACTGCAAGGATGGAAAATAGTTTCTCAGAAGCATTCAGTTCAGTACAGTGGCACTTTTTTTTTATTCATTATATGTATTTTATAAACATCTTGTTACGTTTAGAGACAACTGGTGTAAAACAGTCCCCGGTGTACAGAAATTTTGTGTAAAAGTTGTAATAACTAATGAATGACAATCAATTAAATACTCTGTATAGTCTAAAAATCAAGGAAATATTGAGCATATGGATCCTCTCCCTGAGCGCCATAGTCAAGTTGTTCCTCGGGGTAATGGTCAAACAAAGAAGAGTCACCAACACCAGCAGTGATTGGCGGTTCATAAGGAGTTTCAATATCCTTGGCCAACAATTTTTCCCAAACCACCTCTTTGAACCAAGGATGATTTCTTATATCAGCGGGCCCATTTATCAAATTACCCAATCTCCGAGTCAAATCAGCCGTTATCAATTTCGACAAGAGATCAATTTCATCTGGTTGGAAAAAACTTGGGTAGTGGATCTTTCCCGCCAAGATCTTTTCGTAAGTCTTCATTGGGGTTGAGTCGTAAAATGGAGTATACCCTGCCAACATTTCGAAAATCAAAACACCAAGACTCCACCAATCAACTGATTTGTTATATGGCTTAGTGGTGATGACTTCGGGAGCAATGTAATCGGGTGTTCCACACAATGTCCAAGTCACCGTACTAACTTCCTTGGCAAACCCAAAATCGGTAATCTTAATATGTCCATTCCTATCCAACAAGATATTTTCCGGTTTCAAGTCTCGGTAAATGATATCATGACTGTGCAAATACTCCAAGGCCAATGTCACTTCAGCAGCATAAAATTTCGCCACAGGGTTAGGGAACCGTTGCGATTTTCTCAACAAGGAAAACAACTCGCCACCTTCAATATAGTCCATCACCATAAACAAGTTTCTGGAATCTTGGAATGTGCCCCACATTCTTATCAAAAAGGGGTGTTCGATCAACTTTAACATTTTCCGCTCATCGTTGGTGTGTTCAACTTGCTTCATTTTGACAACCTGGTGTTTCTTCAACACTTTAATTGCATAGTATCGTCCATTGTGTACCGATCTTACCAAATGCACTCTACCAAATGAGCCTGTACCCAATGTTCTCATTATTGAAAAGTCATTTAGCGAATACTTGCCCTTACTTACGGTAGATCTTTGAGGGAGTAAGGATCTTTGAATAGCCTCATCAGCAGCAGATTTGGGCACGTTCTGTTGATGTTGTTGTTGTTGCTTTTGAAGATTCACTTCTTGTTGCTGTGCCTGTTGCTCTTGCTGTTGCTGTTGTTGTTGTTGTTGCTGCTGTTGTGAAGCCTGCGTCACATTCGCAGTAGTCGTTGCGCTCACGTTGGTATTGCTCATTGCTGCTTGAGCAGGACCGGGATGATTAATCTGCTCACCAGGATGCAGTTGATTGTATGTGTCCATTGACGTATCTTCGTTGTAAGCTGGAGAAGGCTCGTGAGATGTATGATGCTGATGTTGGTCCTGGTAGTTGCGATATAGCTTCTTCAAGATATTAGGCATGAAGCAATTGAGTGGGGAAAAGCAAAAGCTGAAGTGGGGGAGCGGTTAGATGGACCAATTTGGAGAAAGCAATGACAGCGTCCAATGAATGTGAAGAGAGTCGGTGTTTAGTAGTGAGACTGCCTTAAGGATATGTTTGCTGCACAATTGATCACAATTGAGGGGTTTACTTGTGTTTGTTTTATTCAGTAACTTGGATATGTGTTGTTGTAGTTGTCTGGATGGAGTGTTTGAGTGGGTGTAAGATAAGGCTAGTTAGAAAGTGTGTGTGTGTGTGAGGATGTTGTGAGGATGTCGTTGAATTTCTATAAATTGTTTTCGCTCTCTCTCTCTCTCTCTCTCTCTCTCATCATTCATTGACTCTCTCTTTGTTTCTATTGTGTTGTGTCATATGAAATATCTCTCTCTCTTCTCCATCTGTTGTTACATTTTGTTACTTACTTACTAACTGTACTCTTTCTATAATATTAGTGTTTTATATTAGCCCATCAATAATCGAATATTACACACTCATATTACTTACACTGACACTAACGTAACACCTATGCGTAGTTATTAAAATAATGTGACTCTACTCGCGCACTTATCACTAAACTAATTTAGATTGAACTTTCTCTCCCTCTGTCAGTAGTTGTATATTCTTCGATATCAAAGTGCTGCATATTCGGCAATGACTCCGATCTCAGGATGTCCACTACTTATGCACAGCTCTCAATAGTGTGCTAGCTCATTTTGGGGTGTATTCTATTGGACGCATGTTCTAGCGTACGTGGGGGAGGAACAATTGGAGGACCAGCGCACGTGAAGGATGGGTAGCTCCACATTTCATTTTTATAAGAAGCATTTTTGCCTTCTAAAGGAATCAAACCTTCTTTCATTACGATACGCGATGTCAACTTCTCCATTCACGCCTGTCGATTCCAAGAGTCAGCCGGATATTTCAGGATCCACGTTAATAATCCCATCAATATCAATTGGTAACATCCCTCAATTAACGGTAGACTTGCTCATCCATACCTATTCTTTGACCAAAATTGGATACTTGGATGACTTGTATCTTTATCCATTCGCCGGCCCAATTGACTACGCTACACTGAATCTGCATCCAGAACTGGGCATTAGTCATGCCATCGAAGTCTACTACTCACAAAAGTTTAATCTTACGGTCATACAGCAACGGAGTCCAATCATTCCAACATACACACTTCCATTTGTGCAACAAGTGCTATTCCCATTCATAACCACTCATTTCGAACATGTGTTTGTCTTGAACTCATCAGATGCCGGGTTAGTCGAAAGTGTCAAAAGCGGTGATGTCAAACTTTACGACACCGAGGATTTGATCAGTTCAAACTTGAAAAACTTGTCATTGGCATCTTCTTCCTCACTTGCCGAATCAAGTGATTCCAAATTTGGTGCTGGTGGTGCTGGTGAAGCCGATAAAGACTCGAAATTCGTCACTGAGTTGGTCAAGTCAATCATATCTTACAATGGCGAGAGTAGTTCCAACTCAATAGGCATCCAAGTTCTCGTTAGCTATGTATACGAAGGTGATAATTTCTATGATGCTGAAAAGTTGGCATCCACATTGCAAGAGGCTTTACAGCTACACAAGCTGCAATCAGTTCACAGTTGGGTTAAGCCCGTCAGTTGGTTAGGTGCTTATGGTGATAAATCAGTTCCAAACGCTATGGAAGAAGGAATATTTGGTTGATTAAGTAGCGTAGTATCGTAAATTCAATTTACCTTTTATATATCTTCAAAAGTGAATAGGTAGAGTCTGTCGAATAGTAATACATTCAAACACTACTTCTTAATTACGATGATGCACATTATTGTTTCCCGGTGGCACCCAATGTTGACTTTGATAGAACTGAAAGTTTTTCTGAGGTATGGGGTAAATCGGACCTTGGTTTGGTTGTAATGGCTGCATGGGCTGCATGGGCTGCATGGATTGTATTGACCGAGCCTGTGGCGATGATTGTATTATTGGCAATGGATGCATTGACTGTACTTTCTGCAATCCATGAGGAATAGGTTGCACTGGTTGAGGGTGTGACTGTTGATGTAGGACGGGTTCGTGCTGTACTGGCTGGTGATGTACTGACTGATGTATGGGAGGCATTACACCACCAACAACCATTGGAAATTGTTGTTGCTCCTCCCTTGCCCCAAACTGACCGGAGGATGAAGATCGAACAACGGGGGTGGGTTTCTCCTTAAATTCGGGGCCAATAGGCGGAGGACTGAGAGCATTCACACCACTCAACAACGCTCTTGCTTGACTTTCAACTTCCGCTTCTTCTCCTGCCGACTCCTTCGAGTTGCCCAAACTTTCCTCCTCCTCTATCTTTATCAATTTACGTTGCAGTTTTGGCAACACGGGTTTTTGCGGTTCTTGAGTTGGGGAGTTTAACAAGTTAGCAATTGTCGGACTCTCTTGTGCCTTGGGCGTGTCGAATTGCAAGTAGTCCAAGTTCATCTGCTGTGAAATCTCAACGGATATTCTCATTGGTGGCGACGTCGATGCATTTTGAAGCAATAAGCTTCTAATCTCACGACAATGCATCACTCGTTCATGATCTGTTGGGAACTCCATCATCTGGGGAAAATTTAACGCCATAGTTAGTATGTAATCCACAAACGGATAAATCTTTATCGTCTTCACAACGTCCGGTCGGTACACATTTCGTAATACCAGGATAGCTTTAGTGTATTGCTTATTTCTTGTTCTAATCAAAGTCTCATGCGCATCATTGGTTCCTTTCAACGAACTCAACCTTACCACCAACACACACCAAACTAGTTGCTTGACACCTTCAATAGCAAGGTACGGTGCTGGGTTCCAATGCTCCTTCAAACGGCAATAGTCAGGCATGTTGCGAACAAAATCATTGATTTTGGCCTCAAAGTTACCCATGGTCATGCTACTGGGGTTTCTTCGATCGTCGTAATTGATTTTTCCACCAACAACCCCATCATCAACAACGCCCGTGGATGTGTTGATTGTTGAAGTAATGGCAAGGTTCAAAATAAACACAATCTTGATAAACTGATTGAAACTGGACAAAAACCGCCCGTGGTCGAGTCGTATTGATTCAGGCATATGATAACATTCCCAGGAATCATATTCTTCCCAGCCATCGGTATCAATTTGAGGAATTGGCCAATCCGAAGCCCGCACCACGGGTGAACGGCCCATTCTTGCCGAAAGCAAGGTATTTATCACGTAAACATTGGCCCAAGTTCTCTGCCTACTGATATTGTTCAAAGTTGTACTTGATTGATACTTGCTATCCTCTTCATCGGAAGCTGATCTCATCAATCGTACGTCAATAGCCATTCTTGAACTCGAACTAATCAAAACCCACGAGTAATCCCATTGACCAGCTTGATAGTAAAACAACCCTAGAATCAACATTGCCTGCATAGTCTCTATAGTCGATGTCAATGAATTCTCCAATGCCAAGATGGCATTCTTGGCGTACGTTAGTCCAGCCGAGAAGTCACCAGTGACGTTAGAGCTAGACTCACCAATAGCCACAACTGCCCATATAAGGGCCACCAAGTTACAATCAACTTGTCTCGCATCTCCATGGGGCAGCTGGAGGTGGTGAAGTTGCCTCTTGACATTGATCTTATCCAACATGGGAAACAAAACGTGAAAAATCTGAAAGTAGTTATCCACAAGTGTTCGAACATTTGCAGGAAATTGGAAAATTTCATGCGGGAGGTGTATCTTATCCTGAAGATTGGCGTTGATTGCAAAAGATGACATATTGAATAAAGACCCCACCCTAAATGGGTTCTTTCTATTGGGTTTCTTTTTGTAATTTTGTTGGATGGCTTTGTTTGTGAATCCGGATATGATGGATGACAACCCATGGTATTGTAGTGCAACGGGTTCCCAATTTTCTGCTCCCCCAGACGACTCGACTTCATCGGAAATGAATTGGAAAATGTCATAGTTTAGAAAGAATGAGGGGTCATTGACAAAGTTGTTGGTCTCGTATAGTTCCTGTGATGTTGGTAGATTGTTGTTAAACAGCCACGGTGGTTGTTCTTGCGCTTGCGAGTTGGAGGCCACTTGCGCTGCTGGATAGGTAATCTGGTTCGAGATTGGAGCCACCTCAAGATTTTCAGAGGGAGTAGTTGCTGTTGTAGTAGTAGTAGTAGCAGTAACCTTTTCCTGCTTCACGATGATGTTGTTGTTATTATTGTTGCTCGAGCTGCTTGGTGGCAGTTGTAATGCACTACCCACACTGCTCCTACCGTCACTAATCCCATTGGATGCTTCCGATTTAAGTGACCCTAGACTTTTGAAATTCTTGAACATGGGAGATTCCTGATGCAAAATCGTCTCAACAAACTTTGAAATTGAATGGTCTTTCCATATCTGATTCAAGTCTCTTAAATTATTGATCAAGTCATGGTGATTTTCCAAACTACTCCACACTGCACTCTCAAATTCCGGTCGCTGTTGTATTGCGCTAGCAAGCACAGCCTGAAGTATGGCAACTTTCTTTTCTAGTTCATGCGTGTAACCAGTGGGCAACCCTCGCCTCTTGGACGAGTATGTGTATGTACATTTCTCGTTATTGATGGTGCAGTTGGTGCATGATGGAGATAATCCATCACATTTAGCTTTTTTCGTTCGGCAGTAATCACAAGCCTGTTTTATTCTCCGTTTCTTGATGTTCTCTCGTGTCTCGTCTTTGGCCGCGTCCATTAAGTCTTGGTAATTAGTGTGGGGAAATGTGTTAATTTCGAATTAATAAAAGTTTGATCAACCTCGATTATGTGCGTCAGTATTCATGCAAAGTGTCTATGCCTGTTGAAATCTGGCGATTCTGCGTAAATCAGTATAGTGGGATGTGATATAAGCCAACAATATGTGTCAACAGTAGATACCGTAGGCGAGTCTGACACAGATATACTCTTCTTCTGTCTTTGATATAAACTAAAAAAATAAAAAAAGAAGGAAACCCAGGAAAGTTGTGATTCAAACAAGTTTGAAATTTAGACTGTACAGATTTATAGTGGGGGGAAGAACTTCGTAAAAATTGTCTGTTGCGGATTTCAATAAACCACACACACACACACACACACAAATTGAAATTGTCACCTTTACACCCATCCACAAAAAAGTATAATTTGAGTTGTAGGTATAAGCTATAGGTGAAACGATTTGGACAGAAAGGTTATTGAGACAGTCCATTGACTATGCTTTGAGGTGCTGAACCCTATTGTGGAGAAAAAAAAAACCATTAATTCATGTAGGTGTCGCCTACATCTTCAGTATCTTCTCCAGTCAGGAATCTATACCTATGGAAGTGGGAGCAACTACATGGTCGGACCCATCAACCTGTAGTCGTTTCTTAATTAGTCGATTACCCTGATATTTTCAAAAGCATCAGTTTAGTCAATTCATCTCACAAAACGTATCACAAAAGCCCCAAAAAGACATGAAATTTGAAATTACCAGTGTCAGAATAAGTACAGGTGCCATTTTTATTGCATAGGAGTAGATGTTCTCATTAAGCTCATCTAATGCACAAAGAGTGATACCGTAACTGCGTCCCGACTAAAGTGGTGCTGCATTGAGGTGTACAAAACGTCGATGTCAGACAATAAAACAGATTGTACCACTTACTTGGCCTAATATGATATTCTTACACAAAATGAGAACTTTCTTAAGCACATACTTCCAGTCTGGTTTTGCTTCGGAAGTTTGTTGAGGGAGAGGGAGACTAGTTCTCTATTCATGCTAGTCGGTATACATGTCTAGTGACGTAATGACCTCCTGTTTACTACTCTAGTTTTCGCTCAAAGCTCTATAGCTTTCAAATTTGGCGAAATTTCAAATGATGCAGCAGTTTTGGCCTTTATCTCTTCCACGCTACTCTCCGGATCAATCTCAACCAACACCAATTTCTCATCAACAATGTCAAACACTGCCAAGTCAGTAATAATCCGCGAGACACACTTTTTACCAGTCAATGGGAACTGACACTCTGTTAAAATCTTGGGTCTTCCCTTTTTGTCAACGTGCTCCATAACGACCACAACTCTAGTGTTTTGTGGGTTGCTCACGAGATCCATGGCACCACCCATACCTTTGACTCGTCCTGGTAGGCCCCAATTGGCCAAGTCACCATTTGATGCAACTTGTAACCCACCCAAGATGGTTAAATCAATTTTACCACTGCGTATCATGCCAAATGATTCTTCAGAGCCAAACAATGAAGCTCCAGGTGCAAGTGTAACTGTCTCCTTGCCGGCATTGATCAAATCGGGATCTTCTTGTCCTCGTTGTGGAAAAGGTCCCAAACCCAAGATACCATTCTCTGATTGTAAAGTGACGTTGATGTTTTCTGGTAAATAGTTTGGTGCCAATGTAGGCATACCTATACCCAAATTAGCAAACGAGCCATCCTTGAACTCTTGTGCTGCCCTCTTGACGATCTTTAATCTCTTCAATTCACTAGTAGTTTTTGGTTTCTCCAACGATTCATCTTGCGCAGTCTCGGAATATGTGAAGATCTCAATATCTTTTGGTGTAGTAGATTGAATGACACGATCAACATATATGGCAGGTAAGTGAACGTCCTCGGGTGCAATTTCTCCCGGTTCAACGATGTGCTCTGCTTCAACTATTGTTAACTTTGCGTTTCTACCCATAACTGAATTGAAATTTCTTGCCGCACCTTTGAACCAGCAATTCCCCAACGTATCAGCCTTGTATGCTTTGACAAGTGCTACATCTCCGCATATTGCAAACTCCAACAAGTACTTTTTCCCATTAAACTCCCTCACTTCACGGGTCTCGCTTGTTTTCAACACCTTCTCCCCCGTTGAGTCGTACCTTACAGGTAACTTCCCTTCTTCCAACCACGTGCCAACACCCGTGGGGGAGTAAAAAGCAGGAATTCCAGCAGCTCCAGCACGAACTCGTTCTGCCAAGTTACCCTGAGGAGTCAATTCCAAGTCTATGGCACCGGTCAAGTACAATTTCTCAAAAGTTCTGTTTCCGCCAATATAACTGCTAATCATCTTGGTTATTTGACCAGTGACTAGCAACTGTGACAATCCACGCCCATCGAGTCCGGCATTGTTCGAAACGGCAGTGATGTTGTTGATCTCGGGTTTTTTAACGAGTGCATTGATGACGGTGTCGGGAACACCACTCAAGCCAAACCCACCTGATAGTAGCGTGATGTTTGAGGTAAGGCCTTCTAATGCTTCATCCGTAGAATGGACAACTTTAGATTTAGGATGCACCAATGAATAGTATCTGATCAAAAGTTGAAATGCCACCACCCTCGGTTTGGACCTGTTGAATATTGCAAGCATCGATCAATTGGTTTTTGAGCCAAGACTTTTGTCACTTGCAAGTAGTGCCTGGGATTGATCTTCAATATATATCGTGTGCTTGCTTCGTACCTGGATTCATGGTCCCATTGTTCTTCGGATTTGTATGTGGCATGAAATTTGAAAAATGGAGAAGTGAATGGAAATACGTTCGGAAAAAGCGAAAATATATATATATATGTACATATAAGAGAACAGAAGAAAAGAAAGTGTCTAATTTTTTGTGTCGAGTGGAAATATTCAATGCCGACCGCGAGTCGGAAACATCGATCCGAAATGTGGAGTAGGCGGGCAGAATGGTCTGAGTCAGTCCAGCTGAGTACCCTACAGCAATAGGTGGAGTCTTTTGAAACCTCCATTTGAGGCCCCTCTACAATAAGAGACTAGAAGACCAAAAGTGTCAAGCTTGAGTTATGTTATATTCATATACGTTTACATAAAATTTAGTCCAATGGCGAAGGTTCTGGCAAACCATCAGCATTGAGTGTCAAATTGGCTGCGGCTCTGGTCAAGGCATCCCTGTTTTTCTCGTAAACCAACTTCTTAGCTTCCTCTTCAGTGATGATCTTGAAATGCCACTTCAAGTACCAGTCATCGGCATTCATGTCATACTTCTTGGCCTTTTCTTCTCCCAACTTGTCCAAAGTGTACAACAACGATGTCTTGACCCCAAATACAGCATCCGAGGTTTCGTAGGGATCTCCTTTGGCATATAAAGCAGTAATCAACCTATCATAGCCTTGCTTCTCAATGATGAAATGGATGTGAGCTGGTCTATATGGGTGTCTATTGATCTTTTGCAACAATTTCCCAACTGGTCCATCATGAGGAATTGGGTATGGCACCGGTTTTGTGCATTTGATGATAAAGCTTCCGTCTTCGTTTGTCTTGATGATTCCTCTCATATCTGGATGATCTCTATCTGCGTATTGAGTATCGTACAACCCATTGGCGTCACAATGCCAAAGATCAATGGTGGCATCCTGAATTGGAGTTCCATCGGGTTCAGTCAACAAACCTTCAATCAATAATGGCTCGCCTTTACCTTCAGAGCAGATGGAATCACCCTGGTGCATTTCAGTTGCATCATGAGTGTGGAAAGGTCCTAATAATGTACCAATTGTTGCATTTGCCGGTTTAGGATGGGAAATGGCGTCAACCAAGACAGACAAACCCATAACATCAGACAACAAGACAAATTCTTGACGGATATCAGAGCACATTTTACCGGTCTCGGTAAGGAACTTGATTGCAGCTTCCCATTCCTCGGTGGTTAACCTTGTTTCAATGGCGAAATCGTGAAGATGTTGAACTGCTTTTTGCAAAAGGAAAAGCAATCTCATGTTGGTATGTTGAGAGTTGACCAAGATTGTGTTTTTTGTGATGGTCTCATCTGACATTTCGGTAATCTTGGGACCCTTTGGTGGTGGTGGAACCTTCTTGGTCGCAGTATTTGCAGTGGTGGTGGGCATTATTTGATTTTGTAGATGTGGAGATGTAATACGAATAAAGATACTAAAATGGTGTCCTTCGAAGATCCGGAAGTACTGTACCTTTTATATCAAGATTCCCTTGTAATCTATCTCACCATTTGATATATTTCAGTGGGGAAAGGGGGGTGGTGTTTGGGGTCAGAGTTGTATATCTCAGTATTTCCGGTAAAGACAAAGTCCGATCGTGAAGCGCGTTCAAGGAGAATTACACAAGAAACAAAAACGGCTCTTGTTGTGTATTCTTGACCTGTTGTTGATTTTGTTTTCGATAAATGCGAAGTAAGAAGTAAGCAACAACGGGGTTTGCATCTCTAAAAACTGACCAAACATGAGGTCGTAGCTGGTGTTGCACGGTTAACGTTGTAGAGATCTCAGATGTTCTGCCTCTTTAGAAGTGGGGTGGATTATTTTAATTTCACCGAATTTTTTGCTTCAAAATCGTGCAATAATATTTTTCAATGCAGGAGAAGAGAAGAACACAAGTCATCGAGGAATCAGAAGATATGAGTATGAGTAAAGCGAGGGTCCGGACTTAGGAGAGTTTAGTTGAAATTCTGGCCGGAACGGGCGCGACAGCATGCAAAAGAGCACAACAGTTTATTAAGATAACTTTGATCTATAACAACTATAGTCACATCTGACAACATGGTAATGTATATTTGAACTAGAGAGAGAAGAAGGTGGGTGGATATCCACAATCTACTATTATTCCCTCTTCTTCATTCAAATGTCTTTGTAAATAAATTGTGGCTTTGCGTTTCGGGAGATTTTCTGTCTTTTGAAAAATAGCAATTCCGGACATAAAAAAAAAGACGAAATATTTAATTTTGTGGAATCATTTGATTGAGCAATTCCGATACATTATACAGAGAAACTTCCGTCGACATCTAACGGATAGGAAATTCATTAATTTTATCCTCTTCGGCAGTTATATATAATAAGCAACAATTTGGTTAATATAATTAATAACCAAATTTCCCTCCAGGTACTTCCCCCCTCACCCTCTCCTTTATCTGCTTATTCTATTTCCCTTTTTTTTCTTTTAGGAAATTGAATGGTTAGTTGTGTATGAGATTTACCACAACACTTCTGAAGCAAAGATACTCAATTAAGCAACAACTTTACAGAGTCAATCAACTCATCCACACCCGCACTATGGCACATCATCCAGAATTCACTCATCTTGAAGCTTCAAGACCATCTTTCGAGGCTGAAAAAACTTGGAAATACACGCAAGTACCAGACATTCATTGGAAAGTTGGATCCGGGGCAAATAATGACGAGTGGAAAGAACATAAAAAAATCGAATTGGACCCTTACGGAGAAGGCAGACCTGCTGCTCTTAACTACAAGACCTTGATTAGTGCCGTCACTCCCAGACCAATTGGATTTGTCTCCACAGTATCTAAAGATGGAAAACGCAATCTCGCGCCATTTTCATACTTTAGTGTGGCTAACCATGATCCACCAATTTTCACTTTGGGATTTGCAGCCAGTGGAGACTTGAAGAAGGATTCTTGCAGAAATATCTTGGAGACTGGGGAATTGACCATCAACATTATTAGTGAATGGTTTGTTGAAGCTGCTAATTATTGTGCTATCAACAGTCCACCTGGGGTTGATGAATGGAAGTTATCTGGTTTAACTCCAGCCGAATCCAAGTTGGTGAAACCACCACATGTCGCTGAATCGGCGTTCTCAATTGAGGCTAAGCTCGTTGCTCACCACGATTGGAAATCGAAAACCGATCCAACTAAAACCACTGGTATTTTGGTCATTGCTGAGGGTTTGACTTTCCATGTTAGAGAGGATCTCCTCAATGAGGATAAATCTCAGTTGGATATTGCCAAGTTGAAACCGGTTAGTAGGTTGGGGGGTATCACTTATGGCAGAACCATTGAGGGGTATGAGAAGCCAAGACCCAATTATGAGACTGAAATTGAGAAACCGGAGGTGAAGAAGTTGTTGGAATGAACTAGAAGAGTGCGTTTATAGAAGAATTTATTAGATTTTGTTTTTGAGAAATATCTTTGTTCAGGATTGTAGAGACTGGTTGGAAATAAGAGCGAGTTATTCTCGTAAAGTATCACTGTGGTGACAATGGTAACTCAAAAACAAAGTGGCTTCCCTGTCCAGTTTAATATTCACTTTCAAACTGCAAGCTTTGACAATTGTGGTGCTCAGGCAGCAGCCGATTTCCGTCAAAAAGAACCGTTTGTGTAACAATGAGTAAAAGTATCAGCAGAAAAATCAGGATGAAATCTCAAAAAAAAAAAAAAATACTTATCTTATCAGGCAAAAGCATGCAATCGAATCCCCACACAACAATACCTCAAAGTCTTGAAGGGCGAAGTTCTGATACGAACCGACGACAAAGCATCGAAAGGGGAAGCTCTGCCGCACAGAGACGACAAAGCTACGAGGAAGCTCGTCTTCAGCGAAGACGTACTATGGAATCCGAACTTGGTGCAATGGAAGCAGAATCCATAGGTGATGCACTTCCAGAAGGGTTCAAGGGGGAAGGATTGACAGAGAAAGCGTTTCCCGTCATTGTGACAAAGTCTCGTAAGTACGTTCCAATCATATTGAATTTAGTTCACGGGGCGATATGGGGGGTGTTGGTACGGAAAGGATTGATACAATTGACTACATACAATGGATCTTACTTATCTGGAGTCATTTGGGCAAATTTTACCGCTTGCGTAGTTATGGGATTGGCAGTTGATGGTGAAGGAATATGGATGGCGCTATTGGAGAACAAAACTTATACTGCCAAAGGTGCAATCCCTCTATACATGGGTATCACGACTGGATTTTGCGGTACGGTATCCTCATTCTCAACCTTCATATTGGATGCATTCAATGCATCAGCCAACACCGCAATTGGTAAGCACTATCAATACCCCAACAGAGCATACGGAATAATGGAGTTTTTCGCTGTTGTCTTGGCACAATTGGGGCTTTCCATGATGGGATTTTACATTGGCAAACATCTACTGCAAGTCATTGATACATACGCTGTGCCAATGAGCGAAAAAGTTTATCGCGCATTGGAGTTGTTATCAATGGCTCTCGGCGTCTCTTTAGTCATCATCACTTGCTTTTTGATCGGGTTTAAAAATCATGGATCCTGGAGAAGCTGGACTTTTGCCATGCTTTTTGCTCCCTTTGGCGCAATACTACGGTTCTACTTGTCAAAATATCTCAACGCAAAAGTTAAAAATTTCCCTATGGGAACGTTCACCGCAAATATTGTAGGAACATTGCTTCTTGCCATTTTTACACTCATTGGAAGAGGCAAACTTTCTCTGGGTGGAAGAATCAATCCACATGAAATGGGTTGCCATGTTTTGAATGGCTTAGATGACGGGTTTTGCGGAGCATTGACCACAGTGAGTACCTTTATCGCGGAATTGTTTGCGTTGAAAACACTCCACAGCTATAGGTATGGAATAGCGTCGGTCGCGGTAGGGTATGCTTTAGTGGTCTTAATTTTGGGCTCTTACAATTGGACTATTGGGTTGACAGATCCTGTGTGTTTTTGAATTTTTATAGAGTAAAAAATAGAATTTGAGAGTGAAAAACACATTGAGTTTGCTAAATTGACGACCAATGAGTCGTTTATAAGCCTTGAGTTTGGATTGCACCTTTTCTGCCATACCTGTGCAAAATCAACTCTCATGAAACCTGACAGTTGCAACCTCATTGCAGAGTACAATAAACACCCCGAAAGTGAAAATTCGGCATCGCGAGAACATGTTACACAAAAAATAAATTTCTTACATCGGCTGATAAAAAAAAATTTTTTTTTTTTCTTTTTCTTTTTCTCTTGGTTACTATAGACATAAACTAATCTACATTTGTAATCTTAAAGATCTAGACACAGTCCAGCTCAGAAAAGCAAAAGAATTTTTCACTCTAGTGTGCAGTGGTCTTTCAAGCTTCAATTATAATTCACTTTGTCCAACTCCAATTCGAATTCATACGTTTTATCGCACTGTACACTTTACTACCATGTCGGAAGAAATTCAAATCAAAAATGCTAGTTTAGAAGAGTTGAGGGATGTCCTTATCAACAAAACCAATAACATCGCCTTAGCTGACAGATTTAGAGCTTTGTTCAACTTGAAATCGATAGGATCAGACAGCACTGACAAGGAGTCTGCGCACAAGGCAATCAAGTACATTGCAGAAGCTTTTAAAGATGATTCTGAATTGTTGAAACATGAAGTTGCTTATGTCTTGGGCCAAACTAAGGATTTATATGCTGCTCCATTCTTGAGAGATACATTGACAGACAATAAGCAACAAGTTATGGTCAGACACGAGGCAGCGGAAGCTTTGGGAGCCCTAGGGGATGTTGACTCCTTGCCGATTTTGGAAGATTATTACAAGAACGACCCATCATTGGAAATCAAACAAACTTGTGAACTCGCCATTGAAAGAATCAAGTGGGAAAATTCCGAGCTAGCCAAAACTGAAAAATTGGAGAAATCATTGTATGAATCGATTGATCCTGCGCCTCCATTAGCCACTGACTCCAACACATCTGCGGTTGAAAAACTACAGGACATTTTGAATGACCAGGAGAAACCATTGTTTGAGAGATACAGAGCCATGTTTAGATTGAGGGATATTGGAACCGATGAAGCTTGTCTTGCGTTGGCATCTGGGTTCACTGATCCGAGCGCGTTGTTTAAGCATGAGATTGCTTATGTTTTTGGTCAATTGTGCAATCCAGTCACTGTGCCATCGTTGATCAAAGTGTTGAAAGACGAAAAGGAAGCAGGCATGGTCAGACATGAGGCAGCTGAAGCTTTGGGAAGTATCGCTACCGACGAATGTTTACCCGTGTTGAGATCTTTCCTCAACGATCAGGAACAAGTTGTGAGAGATTCTGCCATTGTTGCTTTGGACATGTACGAGTACGAAAATTCAAACGAGTTGGAGTACGCAACTGTAAATTAGGAATTGATAACTCTATAAAACTACTTGCTTTATAGAACTATTTTGTTTTAAAATATACATGATGTTTTAATTGTTAGTTCTGAATCTGTAACCGCAATTTGGACAGGTGTAAAACACGGTTGCACCTTCATCGGCTGATCGAAGTTGTAAAGTATGGTACTGCATCTCTTCATTTCCACACTTGGGACATTTCTCTTTGATAGTTGCACCTTCATCTAGCTCGTCCTTACTTAAACTCGTCTTAACCACAGACCTGGCCAGTTTCAACTTTGAAGGGAAGGCATCATCTGAACTTTTGGTAACAACTTTTAAATTGGCAAATTTCGACTTGGGATACGTCGCCAGGCAAATTGTGCATTTTATATCTGATGAAGAGCTATGTGAATCTAGTAAGTCCCCGCAATATGTGCAAAATATCAAAGATCCCACCACTGACATGCTTGAGCTGAGTATTATTCCGTGATGATGGAGATGGAGATGTAGTTTGGTAGTGTAACATCATAGATTTTTCTTTTTCTTTTTTTTTTTTTTTTTTTTTCATCCACAAAAGAATTGAGATGAGAGTATCATTGCACATTTGATCAAGATAGGGAATGTAGTTTGAGATGGTAATATCGAGGTGCAGTATGAGAGCCAACAGAGTACCAGCAAGCGCAGTAATTATCTCATTGTAGAACCTTCTTTGATCCCTCTTCCACTATTTGAATGTACTGAACTGATCGGTTCCTTTACAAGCATTAAAGAAACTGTATTACAATCCAGCTACAGCAGAGTCTCAAGAAGAGCCCCTTATGATTGGCAACTCTTACATATAGCCGCCTCAAGCATGACCTGTTGTAAAATAGCATGTACAACTCCTCTCTCCCTTCCTCTGTCGCGTACAGAATTTAGAAGCCAGAAGAATCTACAGAAGAAAAACTCTTGGGTAAAAAAAAAACAAAAAAAAAAAAACAAAAAAAAAAAAACAAAAAAAAAAGAAGGAAGCCAACACCACACCATTGACTATACTCCATTCAAGCAAACATGGCTGCAGCACCACAAGGAATGCCCGATCTATCGAATGCGATTGTTGCTCAAGATGAAATGGGGAGACCATTCATTATAGTTAGGGACCAAGGAAAGAAACAAAGAAAACATGGAATCGAAGCAACCAAATCGCATATACTAGCAGCTAGATCAGTTGCCAAGATTGTTAAAAGTTCTTTAGGACCTCGTGGACTTGATAAAATCTTGATCAGTCAAGATGGTGACATCACTATTACCAATGACGGTGCAACAATTCTTTCGCAGATGGATTTGGATAATCAAATTGCAAAGCTTTTAGTGGAGTTGTCAAGGTCTCAGGATGATGAAATTGGTGACGGTACAACGGGTGTTGTTGTATTAGCCAGTGCCTTGTTGGACCAAGCGTTGGAATTGATTGAAAAGGGAATACACCCCATCAAGATTGCCAATGGGTTTGATGAAGCATGTAAAATTGCCGTTGAACAATTGAATACTGTTGCAGACGAAGTCACAATTGATAACAAATCTAACCTTTTGAAGGCCGCCAAAACCTCGCTAGGCTCCAAAATTGTTTCAAAAGCTCATGACCACTTTGCGCACATGGCAGTTGACGCCGTTCTTGCTGTCGCTGATATAGATAGAAAAGATGTTGATTTTGAACTAATCAAGGTTGAGAAGAAGGTTGGTGGATCAGTGGAAGACTCCAAGTTGATCAAAGGTGTTTTATTAGACAAGGACTTTAGCCATCCACAAATGCCCAAGGAGGTCAAAGATTGTAAAATAGCCATCTTGACTTGCCCATTTGAACCTCCCAAGCCAAAAACAAAACACAAGTTGGACATTTCGACTGTCGAAGAATTCAAGGTATTACAAGAGTACGAACAGAAGAAGTTCCAAGAGATGATCGACCTGGTAAAAGAATCTGGTGCAAATGTTGTTGCTTGTCAATGGGGGTTTGACGATGAAGCAAACCATTTATTACTCGCAAATGGATTAAATGCAATTAGATGGATTGGAGGATCTGAGTTGGAGCTTTTGGCAATTGCAACCAATGGTCGTATAGTTCCTAGATTTGAAGATTTGAGTGCGGCTAAGTTGGGTAAGGCAGGAGTTATTAAAGAGTTGGAATTCGGAACAACCAAAGACCATATGTTGGTGATTGAAGAATGCTCCAACACAAAGGCAGTCACTTGTTTCATTAGGGGGTCAAACGAAATGATTATCTCCGAAGGAGTTAGAGCATTGCATGATTCTTTATGTGTCGTGCGTAACTTGATCAGGGATAACAGAGTTGTGTATGGTGGAGGTGCGGCCGAAATCTCCTGTTCTTTAGCAGTATCGGAGGCTGCCGACAAGCAAACGGGAATTGACCAGTATGCATTTAGAGCTTTTGCTGGTGCATTAGACACAATTCCATTGACATTGGCAGAAAATTCAGGATTGGATCCAATCGAAACGTTGAGCTACCTCAAGGCAAAGCAAATCAATGAGAATAACTCACGTTTGGGTGTTGACTGTCTAGGTAATGGGACCAATGACATGAAAGACTTATTTGTTATTGATCCGTTAATTGGAAAGAAGCAGCAGTTGTTGTTGGCCACGCAGTTGACCAGAATGATTTTAAAGATCAATGATGTGATTATCAGTGGTACTGATGAGTATTAATGGAGCGGGTTGCAAATAGATTTTATAAAACCTTAGCTTCAACTTTTGAAATCTTGTAGGGTAGTGTGTGGTTTAAATTCGCGGCAATATATAGAACGGATTTGGTTGTCAACGATCAATAGAAAAATACATTAAAAAAAATAAAAAGAACTCGGACAACTTTGAACAAGTCGATTAGCCTAACAAACTACAGAATCGAGGCAGTACTTGCGACCAATATACAACTTAATCTCTCCAAAATTTGATTCAAACTACAATTAGGAAACAATGAGTTTAGGTACACCAGCAGTTGTGATGGACAATGGTACAGGGTTGACGAAGTTGGGTTTTGCCGGAAATGATTCTCCTTCATTTATCTTCCCAACTGCCATTGCCACTTCATCAGCATCTTCGAAGGCAAATAAAACTACAATCCGTTCGTCAAACTTGTCATCTAAAAGAGGGTTAGAAGACTTGGATTTTTACATCGGAGACGAAGCAATTGAAGCTGCTAGTGGACCTCAATATGGGTTGCACTACCCTATTAGACACGGCCAGATTGAGGATTGGGATCAAATGGAAAGATTCTGGGAAAGCTCCATTTTCAAGTACTTGAGGTGTGAACCAGAGGATCATTACTTTTTATTGACAGAGCCACCTTTGAACCCACCGGAAAATAGAGAAAGCACTGCCGAGATCATGTTTGAAAGTTTCAATTGTGCAGGATTGTATATTGCTGTACAAGCAGTCCTAGCATTGGCTGCTTCGTGGACCTCCCCAAAAGTCCAGGACAGATCGTTGAGTGGAACAGTTATTGATTCTGGTGATGGTGTTACTCATGTCATTCCCGTTGCCGAGGGTTACGTGATAGGTGCTGCGATCAAAAACATCCCATTGGCCGGTAGAGATATAACGTTGTTTATTCAACAATTGTTGAGAGACAGGGGCGAGACGGACACGAGTTTGCAAACTGCCGAGAGAATCAAGCAACAATTTTGCTATGTTTGTCCAGACATAGTCCAAGAATTTGCAAAGTTTGATCAATATCCCCAGGAAAAATTTGCCCAATACATTGTTGAGTACACAGACAAGAATAAGAATAAGACAGTTGACGTAGGGTATGAGAGATTTTTGGCTCCGGAGATTTTCTTTAATCCAGAAATTTGCTCATCGGATTTCCTTACTCCGTTGCCTATTGTTGTTGATCAAGTGATACAGGCTTCCCCAATTGATGTTAGAAAGAAATTATACAAAAACATAGTCTTATCAGGAGGATCCACGATGTTTAAAGACTTCGGTAAGAGATTACAAAGGGATTTGAAAGCCATAGTTAAGGAGAGGGTCGGATTGAGTGAAAAATTGAGCGGGGTCCAAAGTAGTGGTGTTGACGTGCAAGTCATTTCCCACAAAAAGCAAAGAAACGCTGTTTGGTTCGGAGGAAGTTTGTTGGCGCAGACATCCGAGTTCAAAAGCTTTTGTTACACCAAGAGTGATTACGATGAGTATGGACCAAACATTGTGAGAAACTTCTCCTTGTTCTCTGTGCCATAAGACATACATAAGTAGATGTAATGGAATCAGATGTGTATGTGTGAGTGTGAGTGTGTGTGTGTGTGTGTGTGTGTGTTTTTTACTTCTAAAGACAGCTCCTTCGATTTGTATAAAATGCAGACTCTTTTTTGTACGACAACTTTTTTTCTTTCTCTTTATTCTCTCTTTGAAAGAGTAAGAAGAACTCGGAAAATTGAGAATTAAACCCAACGACACTTACAACTTGCAGACAAACACCAAAACATATGTCAACGACAACATCTGTACATCCACAGGTTGTGGATGGCTTAGCGTTGACGGAAATATTCCATGGACTTACCTCGAGCTCTGATGAAGAGAGACAACGGTATGCACAGGAATTATTCAATTATTTATCTTCAATAGCCAGAGACTTGACGAGCGAACAATTCAATAGATACAATAATGACATCAATAAAACGATATTCGACCTTTTGCATAGGGAAAAAACATCTGAAGTCTTAGGTGGAATTGCGGCTCTCAATACATTGATTGAGTTTGATTCCGGTGTTGGCAAGGAAAATGCTAGCAAAACCGCTCGTTTTTCCAACTACCTCGGATCTTTGATCTTATCTAACGACTTGGTGATTATGAGACAAGCCACTAGAACCTTGGGAAGATTAGCCACGCTAGGCGGTAATTTAACCGGCGACTTTGTCGATTATGAAGCGAAAAGAGCCATTGAGTGGCTCCAGAATGACAGCAGGCAGCATGAAAACCGAAGGCATGCTGCATTATTGATTATAACAGCATTGGCTGATTATGCACCAACATTGCTCTACCCATTGACAAGTCAAATATTTGAAAATTTGTGGTCGCCATTGCGTGATTATAAGCTTATTATTAGATTGGATGCAGCAGTGGCATTACAAAAATGCATGCTGACACTTTACAATAGAGATCCTACTGCCCGTCTGTTTTGGATTAGAAAAATGATTGACCTTGCGTCTGAAACACTAGGTCAAAATAACAATAACCCGGAAACAGGAAGTGACATCCAAAGCTCGTACAATATCATTCATCCCAATACTCAATCGACTGAAAATATACATGGTGCGCTATTAGTCTACAGAGAGTTGCTAGATTACTACAATGATCCATTCATTGTGTCGCGTTTTGAAGCCATGTATGAAAATACTATACTATACAAGCAGCACAAACTGCCCATTATTAGACAGGAGTTGGCAAACGTTATTCCTTTACTATGCAAGGTAAATACCGAGCTTTTTGTGGAAAAATATCTTCACCGGACTTTCTATTACTATTTATCGCAATTGAAGAAATACAAGAATCAGCATGGCGAAGTTGCAAACTCCGATAAAAGTGCAATTTTTCGAAGCATTGGCTTGATATCGTTGCAAGTTGGCAATCAGACTGCTACGTATTTGGACGCGATTTTAGACAATATTAGAGAAGGGTTGGCATATACGTCAAGCTCGGGAGTACAACTGATATTGGCGAATGCAACGACACAGAACGAAAACATAAACGCGATTTCTACAAGTATTGCTTCACTATCATCAGGCTCAAAGTATGCAGCAAGCAGGAAAGAGACAGAGCCAGCTATATTCGAATGCATTGGGCAATTATCGGTAGCTGTTGGTCCTGCTTTGACCAAACACTTACAAAGGGATATTTTGGACATGATGTTTGCCAACTGCTCCCTCTCGAAACACATGCAAAATGTTTTGCAAACCTTGATAACTAACATCCCCACGTTAACCAATGTGATTAACGAAAAACTTTTGAATCTTTTGAGCTTGGTTCTTTCAGGACGAGGATTTCAGCCTCCAGGCTCTCCATACGGGTCAATCAAAGTTAAGCAGAATTTGGCAAAGAATTGCCGTCTCATAATGATTTCCAGAGATACCGGTATGAGCATTAATACCCTCAAATCGGATCCTCAGCGCCACCAGAGATTAGATAACGCAATTGTAGTTCAAGCTTTGGAGATGTTGGCTGCGTTTGAATTTGAGAATTATCAACTAAATGAATTTGTACGATTCTGTACTATTACGTACCTTCAAAGTGAGAGTCCCAGAGTGAGACTTACTGCAACATGTACATCATGTGAGATTTTTGTCAAGGATCCAATTTGTCAACAAGTAAGCATCAATGCGTTGAACGCGGTCAACGAAGTGTTGGGGAAGCTTCTAGCCATATCGATTACTGACCCTGTACTTGAAATTCGGATAGCTGGGCTTGATGCACTTTCAAATGCGGGGAATTTTGACCCTCAATTGTCACAAGCCGATAACGTTAGGTTACTTTTCATTGCTTTGAACGATGAGATATTTGAAGTTAGGAGAATTGCAATGAAAATCTTGGGGAAACTATCCTCCATTAATCCAGCTTATATTGCGCCATTTTTGAGAAAGACTTTGATTCAACTCTTGTCGAAACTTGAGTATTCGACAACCAGTCGGAAAAAGGAAGAGACCGCTATGTTGTTGTCAACGCTTATTAGCAGCTCAAAGGAGTTGACCAGACCCTACGTTAAGCCAATTGTCGAAGCGCTTTTACCAAGAGCCAAAGACATAAGCTCATCAGTTGCATCAAGTGCCATCAAGTGTCTAGGAGATCTCGCTGTAGTTGGTGGAGAGGACATGAAACTGTTCATCCCTAACCTTATGCCGTTGATTCTCGAGACCTTTCAAGACCAAAGTTCATCGTATAAAAGGGATGTTGCGTTGAAAACTTTGGGGCAGTTGTCCTCTTCGTCTGGCTACGTTATTCAACCATTACTTGACTATCCTCAGCTTCTTGGAATGCTAGTTGCTATCTTGAAGTCTGATAACTCCATTCAAATCCGGAGAGAAACTGTTCGACTTTTGGGTATTTTGGGGGCCTTGGACCCATACAAACACAGGGAAGTTGAACAGAGCTCAAAGAGTATACCAGCTGAACAAAATGCTCCGCCAGTTGATGTAGCGTTGCTAATGCAAGGCATGTCGCCATCCAATGAAGAATACTACCCAACAGTGGCAATAACCAATTTGATGAAGATTTTGAAAGATCCCTCGTTAAATGTACACCACACAAAGGTAATCCAATCGATCATGTACATTTTTCAAACTTTAGGTCTTAGATGTGTTACATTTTTGCCGCAAATTATTCCGGGTATTATTAGCGGCATGCATACATGTCAACAATCTATGCTCAAGTTTTATTTTCAACAATTGGGAGATATCATTCTTATAGTTAAACAGCATATCAGGCCGTTCCTAGCCGACATTCTCAAAGTAGTTAAGGAATTCTTTTATGTCAACACCCAGTTGAATTTGCAGGTTACCATTATTAATGTCATTCAATCGATATCGAAGGCATTGGAAGGGGAATTCAAAATGTACATCCCAGACGTTCTCACCCTATTGCTTGGAGTGTTTGACGATGATAAATCCGCAAAGAAAGTATCCTCGTTACATGTATTGAAGAGCTTTGTTATTTTCGGACAAAGTATAGAGGAATACGTTGACATCATTGTACCCACAATTGTTAAAATGTTTGAAGTTGGGCCATTGGAATTACGTAAGGCGGCCGTTGATACAATTGGGAAATTGTCGAGAAATGTAATGTTGAATGATATGTCCTCGAGAATCATTCACCCTATGTTGAGACTATTGAACCTGGGACCTGAGGAGTTGAGAGAACTGTGCGTAAACACGTTGAGCCATATGCTTGTTCAGTTGGGTTCCGAGTTCACAGTGTTTGTACCCATCGTTCAAAAGACATTGATGCAGAATAAGATCCAAGCACCTAAATTTGAGCAACTTGTCGGTAAGCTTTTGAATGGAGAACCGTTACCCTTACATTTGGATCTGTACAAGGACTACGACCGCGGAGTGTTTAATACAGAAGACTCCGAAATGCCCCTGAAAAAACTCCCCGTTAATCAAGCCGTTTTGAAAGCAGCTTGGGACGCAAGTCAGCGAAGAACCAAGGAGGACTGGCAAGAATGGATTGCACGTTTGAGCAAAGAGTTGCTATTACAGAGCCCTTCCCATGCAATAAGAGCTTGTGCTGGACTTGCAGCTGATTATTACCCTTTGGCAAAGGATTTGTTTAACGCAAGTTTCGCCAGTTGCTGGAGTGAATTGTATTCACAACACAAAGAAGAACTAGTGCAATCTTTCTGCATTGCCCTTTCATCGCCCACAAACCCACCAGAGATTCATCAGATCTTACTTAACTTGGCCGAATTCATGGAGCACGACGACAAATCACTTCCTATCGCCATCTCAACTTTAGGACAGTACGCGCAACGGAGTCACGCATTTGCAAAGGCATTGCATTATAAAGAGTTGGAATTTTATGAAGAGCCTACGACACCAACTATTGAAAGCTTGATTAGCATCAACAATCAGCTTCAGCAATCAGATGCAGCCATCGGAATTTTGAAGCACGCTCAATTACATCACGATCTTCAACTTAAGGAGACCTGGTATGAAAAGCTTCATCGTTGGGATGACGCATTGCAAGCCTACAACGAAAGAGAGAAAACCGAGCCTGACAACATGGAAATTACAATGGGTAAAATGAGGTGTTTCCACGCTTTGGGAGAGTGGGAACAGTTGTCAGAGTTAGCTCGTGCTAAATGGGACAACTCGCCAGGTGACATTAAACGCAATGTGGCCCCGCTAGCTGCTGCCGCCGCATGGGGCTTGGGCCAGTGGGATAGGATGGATTCATGCATCAAAGTGATGAAAGCTGCCTCGCCTGATAAGGCATTTTTCAATGCAATCTTGAGCTTGCATAGAAACAACTTTGAGGATGCTTCAGAGCATATTACCAAAGCAAGAGATCTATTGGTAACTGAGATTACTGCACTTGTGAGTGAAAGTTACAGTAGTGCATATGGTGTTGTTGTTAGGGTTCAAATGTTAGCTGAGTTGGAAGAAATCATCAAATATAAATGTTTACCGCAAGGGTCGGAGAAGAGGATAGTTATGCGTAAGACATGGAACACTAGATTACTCGGTTGCCAACGCAATGTTGACATTTGGCAACGGATGCTAAAAGTTAGGGCTCTAGTTATTAAGCCAAAGCAGGACATGGATATGTGGATCAAATTTGCCAACTTATGTAGAAAGTCGGGCAGGCTAAATTTGGCTGAGAAATCTTTGAACTTGTTATTGGAAGAAGGCACTCCAGAGAATCCTTCGCGTGCACCACCACAAGTTGTATACGCTCAGTTGAAGTATATGTGGGCAAAGGGACAAAGGCCCGAAGCATTGCGTCATTTAGTTGATTTCACCACGAGGATGTCACAGGATCTCGGTCTTAACCCAAATGATTTAATAACTCAGCCACTACCCACTGAAGGACCCGGAGTTCCCAAGCACGTTGAGGAATATACTAGGCTTCTAGCTAGATGTTTCTTAAAACAAGGCGAATGGCAAATTGCATTGAACAATAACTGGCGGTCAGAAACTTCTGAAATTATTCTTGGTGCTTATTTATTGGCAACTCATTTTGATAGCAAATGGTACAAAGCATGGCATAATTGGGCGCTTGCGAATTTTGAAGTCATTTCATTGTACACGGGTAAAAGCGAAACCAATAATAAGATTGAAACCTTGGAGGAACGTCGAAATGGTGCACTGGGTGAAGACGTAGGTGCATTACAGCAAAGACCTTCAAAAGCAGGGCAAACCCAGGTGAATAGTGTACCTGCTAGTCTAGAAATACCAATGGAAGCGGTACAAAGACATGTCATTCCCTCGATCAAAGGTTTTTTCCACTCCATTGCATTATCCAACTCTAATTCACTTCAGGATATGCTTCGTTTGCTTACCTTGTGGTTCAAATTTGGTGGCATACCCGAAGCTGCCCAAGCTATGACTGAAGGTTTCAGTATGGTGAAAATTGACAACTGGCTAGAAGTTGTCCCGCAGCTTATTTCCCGAATTCACCAACCCAACGAGGTAGTTAGTAGATCCTTATTTGGACTTTTGACAGATTTGGGCAAGGCACATCCACAAGCGTTGGTATACCCTTTGACTGTGGCAATAACATCTGAGTCTGCAAGTCGAAAAAGAGCAGCGCAATCGATAATTGAGAAAATGAGATTCCACTCTGCCAGTTTGGTTGACCAAGCGGAACTAGTGAGTACTGAATTGATCAGGGTTGCAGTTTTGTGGCACGAACAATGGTATGAAGGTTTAGAGGATGCCTCGAGGTTGTTCTTTGGTGAACGAAACACTTCTAAAATGTACGAGGTCTTGGAGCCGTTGCACCGCACGTTACAGAAAGGGCCCGAGACAATGAGAGAACAGGCTTTTGCAAACGCATTTGGAAGAGAATTAGCAGACGCTTTCGAGTGGGTGCTAAACTTTAGAAGAACCAAGGACATGACAAATTTGAACCAGGCTTGGGATATTTATTACAATGTGTTTAGAAGAATCACTAGACAGTTGCCGCAATTGGTCACCCTTGAGTTGCAATTTGTTTCTCCATTGTTGGACAAAGCCCGAGACTTGGAGCTTGTTGTTCCAGGTACTTATGAGGCGGGAAAGCCCGTCGTTCGGATTATGAAGTTCGATCCGACTATATCTGTTATTTCATCAAAGCAAAGACCCCGAAAGCTTTCATGCAAGGGAAGTAATGGGAAAGACTATCAATACCTTTTGAAAGGTCATGAGGATATACGACAAGATAATCTTGTGATGCAGTTGTTTGGCTTGGTTAACACGTTGTTAGTAAATGATCCCGAGTGTTTCAAGAGGCATTTGGACATTCAGAGATACCCGGCAATTCCGCTTTCACCCAAAGTGGGTTTACTTGGCTGGGTGCCCAATAGTGACACGTTCCACATGCTAATTAAAGGCTATAGGGAATCACGGAATATTATGTTAAATATCGAGCATCGATTACTATTGCAAATGGCCCCGGATTATGACATTTTGACATTGTTGCAGAAAGTGGAAGTTTTTGCTAGTGCTCTAGACAACACAAGAGGACAGGATTTGTACAAGGTTTTGTGGTTAAAATCAAAGTCTTCTGAGGCATGGTTGGACAGAAGGACCACTTACACAAGATCTTTGGCGGTAATGTCTATGGTTGGGTATATTTTAGGGCTTGGTGATAGGCATCCTTCCAATTTGATGCTTGACAGAATAACCGGAAAAGTCATACATATTGACTTTGGTGATTGCTTTGAAGCTGCAATTTTGCGAGAAAAGTATCCAGAAAAGGTACCTTTTAGATTGACGCGTATGTTAAACTATGCAATGGAGGTGAGTGGAATTGAAGGATCATTTAGAATTACTTGTGAGCATGTTATGCGGGTCTTGAGGGATAATAAGGAATCCTTGATGGCAATTTTAGAAGCATTTGCTTACGACCCATTGATTAACTGGGGATTCGACTTTCCAACGAGAGTTTTGGCAGAGACAACAGGCATTAAAGTTCACCAAATCAACGTGGGCGAGTTGTTGAGAACAGGGCAGATTGATGAAGCTGAGGCCGCCAGACTCCAGAAACAGAATGAATTAGAAATTAGAAATGCCAGGGCAGGCTTGGTTTTGAAAAGAATTACAGATAAACTCACTGGTAATGATATCAAGAGACTCAAAGGCTTGGATGTGCCCACCCAGGTTGACAAATTGATACAACAGGCTACAAGTGTAGAAAACTTATGTCAACACTACATTGGATGGTGTTCATTTTGGTGATGTGCAGATAATGTATAAAGAAACATTAAGCTATCTTTTTAGAAACGTTTGTGAACCCACTTCCCTTCATTGACAATGTCATGAAATCGTCTTCTTCTTCATCATCATCCTGAGTCAAATAGGCTTCAGAGCCGAAAACGCTTTTCACATCTCGTAGAGCATGGATTAACCCGTCGTCCATTTCTGACTTATGGATTTTAACACGCCCAATATCCTCTTTTCCAATTACCATGAAAACGAGGCACATGGTTAGTTGATATCTGCCAATTGCTCCACTCTGTGTAATTTCCGTCATCAATTGAAATGCAGTTAACTCCCCCAAATCTTCTGGCAAGGTTCTAGCTTGACCTACATTCTCCACAACGATTCTCCAACCTCTTTTTGACTCAGCAACTAGCGTTAGACCAAACCCAGGTGATTTTCCCGAGTTTTCGCCTCGCCATACATCAGCCGTGATATTGACCTCACATCCTGTTGGTTTCAACGCGGCCCTTGCAGCATCAATTATTCGATTGGCAATTGATGGGCTAACACGAGTACAATACGCCACACCTCGAATCGCTGAGAATTTGGGAACATCTGTGGCATGTATTGTTAATGCAGTGGGTATTAATGAATTGCAAATCAAATGCACTTCACCACCACCATCTGGGAGTGAACCTCTCTTTAATATGTGCAACAAGCAATCACGAACACCAAATTTTTCCATAATCGGTACCAACCCCCATTTGATAGCATCTACACCGGTTTCGTTGTCTGAATTTGTAACTCCTTTAAATAGTATGCTGAATTTCTTTTTTGAGAATGGTGCTAGCATTAACATGGGCACAATGAAATACCCTACAGGTTTGGAATGAGGACAATTGTGTGTGACTTCTCCACCAATAATTATTCCCGGTCTGTAAATAACAGTAGTACCGGTATATGAAATTTCAATATGTGAACCGTTTGTAACAGATTCGAGTAATCTTAAGAAGGAGACTTCGTAATCTTTCAAACCGGGGTTCAAATCGTTGGAACGAATTTTAATAATTTTAACCGACTTCCCGCTCAAAGTGGCCAATATCAACCGCAAGCGAAGGTTTCTATGTCCGTGAAAGACTATGGTACTTCCGTTGCTACTCATGCTGGGGATCGAAATATACTAGCGTCCTGGATTGAACTAGTATGTGAAAATAAAAAATAAAAAAAAAAAAGAAAAAATAAAAAAAAAGTGAGTTTAGATGATGATCATCAAAAGGTTCTCGCTACCATGTGATGTTGACCGAAAATTGTAATCTTTGACAAAGCTGCACTACCAATTACTGTTCAAAGAAGGAAAGACAACGTTAACAGCAACAACTTGAATTGCTTTCCATATATCCTAAATACATTTGAAATGCTGGAAACACAGGATACAGACCTGCAGAAACGTTCGCTTCCAGACCCTGCTGACTTGTCTAGTCCGTCAAAGAGAGCCAAAACTGGTGATGCGTTGTCGACAGAGGGTGGAGCAAAAGAGACAAACTTAGCGTCTAAAGTTGAGCACACTAAGACTCTTACAAACACTTCCAACACAACATCAAGTCAACCAGCTAATACCGACACCACAGCAACCGCACGTGAGGGCGCAAGCGCTGGCAAGGGTTCAAACACCAATGATAAAACCAAGTCTGATCAGCAAGACTCGTCGAGGCTAAACGATGCAATTGCAGCTGCAGGAGTCAATTTGCATGAAGAAGAAGAGCTCTTGCTACAACAGCAATTGGCGCGCAAGAATGAAGCGATGAATGAAGGGAATGCTAATTTGCAAAGTCCAAAGGTATCCACCTTTTTGAATCCTTACCACTTGGCTGCTTTTCTCGGAAAAGTAGCAAAGAAACACCAAGTAAACCAAAGCTTCCTTGAGGATGGAGATGTTCTCAATCTTATCTCAGGTGCGTGTGAGACGTGGATATCTCATATAGCAGCCAAGACTATTACCATATCCCGCCATAGACGAAGGGGAGGTGTATTAACAACATCCAAAAAAAATGGCGCTTCGTCGTCCTCGTCGTCCCAAAGGTCGGCTGTGAGCAGGGAATTGCGTAATTTAGCAGTCAAACAAAAAGAGCTAGAGGAGAAGAGGGTCAATAAAAGAATAGCATTGGGAATTGAAAAAAGTGCTAACGACCCCAGTGATGAAGGAAATGGGGATGGCAAAGCGGGTGCTGATGAGACATTGCATAGAGCTGCTAATGCCACGGCTGCTATGATGACTGTGGGGAAGAAGAAATACAGTTGGATGAACTCTGGAGCAGGCGGGGGTGGAGCAGGTGCTGACAATGATGGCAAAGACAACAAGGGTTCCAGTCGAGGTAAACAAAGTCCAATAATAGCAGCAAGAGGCGACAGTGGATTGCGGTACAGAGAAGTCAGAGCGGGTAACTCTATCGTGTTGAAAGATTTATTGGGGGCCATTGAGCATGAAAAGAGAGGTACCCAGGAAGCTATAATCAAAGGGTATGCTAAGTTACGAGACTAATGATCTTCCCATACAGTTTGTGCTTATCTGAGAGCCCTAGTAAGTCCTGTTGTGTGTAGTGGGCCTCTTACTTTGCTCAATGTATAATTTTCTTTTTGGTCTGACGTGATTTTGTGCACGTACCGCATTTTTAAATAAAAATATTTGTTTTGTTTACAGTTAGCTTTTCAACTCACGTACCCTTCCGCTTTTCATTTTGAACATCGACCGACCACCGCCACCGTGATTGCCATGGACTTCAATCTTTCCACATATGTAAACAACTTTGACATAGACAAGAACTACGAAGTTGAGTTTTCCAATGTCGATGCAAAGTTAGAGTCATTGATCGAATCATTAGCCCACAACCCAGACGCTCTTGCATCCAACGCAGACTTGTTTGATGATCTCGTTGAACTTACTCATGGGATTTTTACATTACAGCCGAAACAGCGGCAGCAAGTTGCATATCTCATTGTCTCTTCATTTAATGCCGTTGCCCAACAATTCGATCGTGTGATACAAGAGGACGATTTTCATGAGGTATTGCAAGAAGTGAAATCCACCATGGAGAGATACGGCTATTTGGTGTTTGTGTTGTTGAAACAGCTATCGAAGGAGGACTATCTGCAGTTGAGTACAACAAGATCTCAGAAATCGTTGTCGAAGGAGTTTCTTGCAAGGTGGAATTCGAATTGTACTGAAGTTGAAAACTGCTTGGTTGTGGTAAAAGCCATCCTAAACCTTAAACTAGAAAAGATTTTCGTAACCACGCCTGAACGCGATGCTTATGTTGAACTATTTACGCGGCCCATAATGAATCTAATGGAAAGTCCTGAAAGGATGAAAGTTGTTGGTTTAAGAATGGTGATTTTGGAAGACTTGTGCTTAGCAGTAACAAGACATGCTCATGGTCCATGTATTAGACATTCTATAACACAGAGTCTCACTTATTATGCTCATTTACCTCAGTACATGGCGATGTTGTTGAACATGTTGACTGACAAGTATGATCACACTCTCTTATCGGAGGAGGTTTTGAGAGAGATTGCTCAAACGAGCTTCAACTCCAATGATACCAATGGTCCAAAGGCTATAGCCGAATTTTTAGTCAAGCTTTCTGAATTAAATCCCATTCTGATTCTTCGTCAAATGACAAGCATATCACAGTTGTTGGCTAACACTAACCAAACTTTGAGATGCTCAGTTGTGGAGACCTGTGGAAACATTGTTGTGAGTATTCTCAAATCATTCGATAATGCCTTACAATCACAAGACGAAATCACAGACCACAATGAACAACAGGTGGACAAGTTGCTAAATTTGTTGGAGGAGCGATTTTTAGATCAGAATCCATTTGTGAGAACCAAAGCATTTCAAGCTTTGACAAAGGTTGCTGAATTGAAGATCAAACTAACCGCCCGAAGACAGAAAATGATGCAACTCGCAGTCAGGTCACTAGATGACAGGAGCACATTGGTGAGGCGAAACGCGATCAAGTTGATTGGAAAGCTCGTTATTAATCATCAATTCCAAGGTGTACATGGTACCCAATTGAGTCTTGTGTTTTGGAAAAAAGGATTAGAGGAGGCTGAAAGGGAATTGCTTCGTTATGTTCCCATTACTTCCCTGAAAAAGTCAGTAGATGATGATGATAAAGCTTCCTCTGTGGATGAAGAAGTTGGTGAACTTGCCAGTGACAACGAGAATGGTTCTGTTGCAGTTGAAAGCGTAAATCAAGAAGTTGAAAGATCTGAATCACACAGTGATGAAGAGGATTCGGATGTGCCGGAAAACAATATTGATATAAATCTGGATCTCCCGGATAGAACTGTTTTGGCACGAATCAAACTCAAATTTGACTTTTACAAGGACGCAGTTGACTTTATTAAAATGATCCATTCGAGCGTTGATGTGGTTTCCCGCTTGTTGTTTTCTAGGAATCGAAATGAAGCCATTGATGCAATGGATTTCTTAGTTCTCGTCGACGCTTACGGTATTGAAAATGCTCAATACGGTATCCGAAAGATGCTACATTTGGTCTGGATGAAGGGCTCCTCCGATGAGGGTAAATCTGTTGCATCTCATCTCATTGATTGCTACAAATCGTTGTTCATGTCAGCGCCCACTGGTACAATTGCCGAAAAGGCTGCATATGTAGCAGGAAATCTTATTGAGCTAACCGTTGGTGCTAGTCTTGCCGATTTGGCTTCCTTGGAAAAGTTGCTTTGTATGATGTACGAAGCAAAGTACATCAACAGTGATGTCGTCAAAGTATTATGGCATGTGTACAATGCGGACGTCGAAGATGTGCAACGTGTGAAAGAGAAAAGACGTGGTGCCATCAAAATTTTGGGCATGTTGGCGCTTGAAGATCCTAAAATCGCCAAACAAGGTTTCAACTCAATTTTGGAAATTGGATTGGGAGAAAAGGGTCATTCAGACTTGGTATTATGTCGTTATACATGTATTGCTTTACAGAGAGTGTTGTCCACTACAGAGAAAAGTTCAACACAGTCACAGCTACCTAATGCAGATCTCGCTATGGAGAGGCTCAAGAGTGTGCTTTTGAAAGTGTGTTATGATGGTGAATGGTTCCCCACAGCTGAACAAGCAATAAACACGATTTTCAGTATATCATCAGACCCAGTGTCGGTGTGTTCTGATATTCTACGAACCAAATCAACAGAAGTTTTCACACCATCTGTTGCCGAAAAGCTGAATTGTCATTCGCTCTCTCAGCTTCTTTTTATGGTAGGTCATATTGCTATGTCAACAGTTGTCTTTTTGGAAAACCTCGAAGCACAATTCAAAAAGAAAAAACACGCAGCAGAAGCAGCAGGCAAAAAAGATGAACACTCTAGTGAGACCGCCGAAGACAACGAGTTGGAGATGATTGGTGGTACTTCCGAAGATGACTTTGCCGATGCCGTTATTCACGTGAAAGAGAGAGAACTTTTGTACGCCGATAATTCGTTGTTGAAAGGTTTTGGAATTCTTGCGAGAAGGATATGCTCGCTGCCCAAGCAGTATAAAAACACAATGTTGCAACGTCAAGCTGTGTTGTGTTTGGTAAAACTCATGTGCGTATCGTCCTTGTATTGCGAAGAAAACTTACCTTTACTATTGAAGATTATGGAAGTATCGAAAGATCCAGTCATAAGATGCAATTGTGTTTTAGGATTGGGTGACCTTGCAGTTAGCTTTAATCGGTTGATTGACGAAAACACTGATTTTATATATCGAAGGTTAACTGACGAAGACATCATGGTTCAAAGAACCTGTTTAATGACGGTGACTTTTTTGATCTTGGCTGGTCAAGTAAAGGTAAAGGGGCAATTGTCGTCAATGGCCAAGTGTTTGGAGAACCCTGACCAAGGTATAAGCGACATGTGTCGTCTCTTTTTTGCTGAATTGGCAACCAAAGACAATGCTATCTACAATGGATTCGTCGATATATTCAGTGGGTTATCGTTCGACGAAACGTTGAGTAATGCCGAGTTCAAGCGAATTTTGAAGTTCTTGATAGGCTTTGTGGATAAGGAAAGACATCAAAAGCTGTTGTGTGAGAAGTTGTTGGTTAGATTGTCCAAGGCTAGAACCCAAAAAGAATGGACTGATATTGCATTTGCGTTAGACACATTTCCATACACAAGTGAAGCAATCGCTGCTGCCATCAAGGAAGGTTATCAAGTTGTGCAAGCAAAAGAGTAAGAATATGTAATCGAGGTTACTTTTCTATATATATGTAGCCACTTGGAACATGGTAGTATTTTTTTTTTTGACATCCAATCCATAGTATACTGTCTCCCCATGCGACACAAAAATGGTGGAACCCCAAAAAAAAAAAAAAAAAAAAAAAAAAAAAAAAAAAAAAAAAAAAAAAACAAAAAANTGACCCCTTCTAAACACGCCAAGTAAAAAGCCACCAAATTTTCCTTCACATTGCTCGCAGAAACGAAGATGTTTCGAGGGATGAAAATGATTTTGCACCAATTGTATTGTGTTGTGCATTGCACAACACAAACAAGTGGCTATTGTCTGCCGAGACAAATCAAAAGGGGGGGCGAAGTCAATACAGTGCATAAATATCCGGCAACAAAAAAAAAAAAAAAAAAAAAAAAAAAAAAAAAAAAACAAGAAAAAAGTCGCACAGCAAAGTTGGGGCGACATGTTGCTTGGTTCATTGGGAGGTAGTTTGAATTGAACGCAAGAAAGCAATTGAACTCGAAACCTGTGAAATGGTTACTCTCATTCAAAGACAAATCAATGACCTTCTGAATGCTGTGGGCCTAGATCCCGCAAGTTTGAAGGTACTATTATGTACATTGCTTTCCTTTCCGTTCGGCATCATCTTTAAACGAATCCCAGATCAACAGTACTTTTTCAAAAACGTGTACAATGTTTTGGTGTCATCATTCTATATCTTTGGTATATGTGACTTGAGATGGGGATTAGGAACGTTGTTGTTGTCTTCCCTCGGGTCCTACTTTATCACGAGGTACGTGAGATCACCAAAGATGCCTTGGATCAATTTCCTATTTTTAATGACAGCGATGGCCTACACTCACTTCCATCTTCAGTTCTTTGCTGTGTATGATCCCACAGTTATCGATATTTCAGGGGCCCAGATGATTCTAGTCTTGAAGTTGTCCGCGTTTGGGTGGAGTGTTTATGACGGAAAACAGCCCCAAGACACATTGAGTACTTACAATACGGCAAGGGCCATTCATGAGCACCCAAATTTGTTACCATTCATTGGGTACGTTTTCTTCTATGCCTCACTTTTGACTGGGCCAGCCTTTGATTACATGGATTACGATCGTTTTATTCATGCCACTCTATTTGATGACGTCCCCGAAGACAAAAGACCGGGCAAAACAAGAAAAAGGAAAATTCCAAGGAGTGGGCGTCAAGCATTCAAAAAATTATTGCAGGGTTTGTTTTGGGCGGTTCTTTTGTTCCAGGTGCCGAAAGTGGTCAGTACCGAGTTTGTGTTTTCGAAGCCATTTGTAAATGAGCACAACTTCCTTTACAGAATTTTTTACATGTGGCTTTTGGGGTTCTCATACAGGTTAAAGTATTATGCAATTTGGTTGATGGCAGAAGGTGCGTGCATTTTGTGTGGTATTGGGTACAATGGGTACGATGTGGAAACGAAGCAATTCAAGTGGGACAGAGTTCAAAACGTTGATCCTGTCGCTTTTGAGTTGGGTCAAAACGTCCATGCGTGTTTGGAAGCGTGGAATCAGAATACGAATAAGTGGCTAAAGCATTATGTGTATTTGAGGGTAGCTAAAAAGGGAAAGAAACCGGGGTTTAAGAGCACAGTTTTCACATTTGCGACGAGTGCTTTTTGGCATGGTACTAGACCTGGATATTATTTGACGTTCGTTGTTGGTGCTTTCTTGCAAACTGTGGGCAAGTATTACAGAAGAAACATTAGACCAAGATTTTTGGAGAGTGATGGTGTTACGCCTAAACCTACGAAAAGACTTTATGACTTTGTATCTTGGGTTACTACACAACTTGCGTTTGGATTTGTTGCTCAGCCATTTGTCATACTTGACTTCAAAAAGTCATTAAAGTGCTGGCAGACAGTTTATTACTGGTTGTTGTTTGTCATAGCTGCCTCATTTTTTATTTATAGAGGCCCACCAAGGAAATTCTTCACGATCAAAAAGCCTGGCGCTAAAGCGGCGTCTGTGGGTTTAAAGGCAAAATCTGACTCTGTGGACTCCAACTTAACAAAAGAAGAAAACGACTTGGTTAGTACTGCCGTTGAAAGTAGCCTAGAGAAGAACTACCATATGCCCACCTTGGGAGTTCCGTCTATTGATTATTTTGAAAAAGTAGACCGAAATGAAATTGATGAAGACTTGCATGCCTTGAAACTAGCTTGGGACTCGTTTAAAAGCCGCAAGTTTCTCGCTGATGACGATTTCGACGGCTTAAAAGATGCATATTCCAACTTTATCAAAGAGATAGAGGAGATATTTGATCGCAAGAGGGAAGAATTCACCAAACAAAAGGACAAGGCGGAGAAAATCGATTAATAGACTTTATTGCTGAACACTGCAGTCCTGACACACTGGTTTTGGCATAGTAACAGATTTTTACAACATTTAGTAGTTTTAGTTAAGAGATCATCTTTGATTTTTGGTCCCTCCCTCATTAATGTATCTGATGTTTTTATCCAGTTGACATCATCAACTTTGCATTCGAATCGAGGCCTCTTTTTGTTTCTGACAAATTGAAAAGTAACTTTTGTGTAAGCATTTGTTTTTTTTTTAGACAGTAGCAATTGAATGAGATTCCTTCCATTTAATGAGCATCATCCACACTCCATCCATTTCAACAACAACAACAACAACAACAACAACAACTTCTGTGAAAGAGGTCACTTTGGTTGAATTCGATATCCCTCCACTACATTACCCTTTGCGACGACATGCTCCAACCATCCCGCTCCTCTTCAAAATTGAGGAGTTCTTTGCGATGCTACTTCAGATTCAATTCCACCACCACTTCAGCAAAACCCCCAACGGGTGTTGTCTTTATGAATATGGGAGGACCATCTAAAACCAAAGAGACTTATGACTTTTTGCATCGTTTATTTCAAGACGGTGATTTAATACCTTTTGGTATATTTCAGAAACCATTGGCCCGGTTTATAGCATGGAGACGTACACCAACAATCGAGAAACATTATGACGAAATTGGAGGAGGCTCGCCTATTCGTAAGTGGTCAGAATACCAGTGTAAAAAAGTATGTGAGATTTTAGATCAAACGAATCCTGAAACGGCCCCGCATAAGCCGTACGTGGCGTTCAGGTATGCAAAACCGTTAACAGAAGAAACTTTGGAGGAAATGAAAAGAGATGGTGTTAAACGTGCTGTTGCTTTCTCTCAGTACCCACAATTCTCATACTCAACCACAGGCTCTTCCATCAATGAGCTTTACAGACAAACGATAAAGAACGATCCAGAGCGCACCATTGAATGGTCGGTTATAGACAGATGGCCACAACAACCTGGATTGGTAGAGGCATTTGCCAACAACATCAAAGAGAAATTGGCTGAGTTTCCACCAGAAATCAGAGATGAAGTCGTCATTCTCTTTTCAGCGCATTCATTGCCTATGGAAATTGTCAATTTGGGTGACTCATACCCTGCGGAGGTTGCTGCGACTGTGTACAAGGTAATGGAGTCTTTAAATTTCTCCAATCCATACCGTTTGGTTTGGCAATCACAAGTGGGACCGAAGCCATGGTTAGGTGGACAAACTTCCAAAATTATTGACAAGTTGGAGAAAAGGGACGACATTAAAGGTATTGTTTTGGTACCGATTGCTTTTACTTCGGACCACATTGAAACTCTCCACGAGTTGGATATTGAAATCATGGAAGATGCTGAAAATCCTGAAAAGATTAAAAGAGCAGAATCTATGAATGGTAACGAGGTATTTATTTCTGGTTTGGCCGACCTCGTCAAGGACCATTTGCAAAGTGGAAGAAAATATTCCAAACAATTAGAATTGGACTGTATTCTAGGGGGCGAAAAGGCATCAAATACATTTAAGCACCCAAGTGAGTTATTTGGTAAAAGTACATTGTAAATAGTTATACAAACGACAAAACTACATCAGTCAGAGTATTCGTCATTAGGATCAAACAAGTCCAAGTCGAGACCAACTTGCTCTTCTTCTGCGTCACTTACTCTTCGAGTTTGCTGGGGTTTCAGTTGCCTTTTCTCACGCGAATCGCCTTCACTTTTCTCATTGGATTCAGGTTCAACTATCTCTTCTTCCATGTCATCCGTTTTCTTGTGATGTCCCTCCAGTAGTTCGGCATTAACTATCTCATCCGCATGCAATGAGCTCATTGCCAACATACCACGCCTCAATGAATCTTCTGCCGGCCATATATAGTTGTTAGGATGTATTTGGAATGGCACATTCCCCACGGCAGCTGGAGCTTTGGTGAACTTCGCTAGTTTCATGGAATAGTTCAATATGCTCTCCACATCTACTGGCGATTCTATGCCCTCCAAATTTGCGTGTTCTCGATGAACACTAGGCAATTTCTTCAACTCGGCGCGTAACCCAACTAATGCTCTCAAGTTATCTTTCAATTTATTTTCAAGCTTTTTGTTGGTGTCTGAAAGATTGGCAATCTCTCGACTACGCTCTTTGTGTTTACTCAACTCGTGCACTTCCTTTTCAAGACTCGAATTAGTTTCAACTATTCTCTCGATATTGGAATAAAACTCATCCTCCTTATAATGTGAAATGCCATTGCTTAATGTGTCTAAAGCTGTTCGAAAATGGGAAATTTTTTGCACAATAGGAATTGCGTTAAATGCGTCAAGCTCTTCACTCGATCGTATGTTGTCGTCGGCGCTGTCTTGATGACTTGAATTGTATTTTGAAGGGTTTAAAGATGATGGAATGTATGCAGATGGTGTACTGGGTCTCGAGTTACTGTTTGGAGAGATCCTTGATTCCTGAGATAATTGATTCAACCGTGTTGAAGAGGTCGCTCTTGAGACAGGTCTAGATCGCAATGGGGAGTTTTCCTTATGATGGGTTAGCATCTTTGCCTATTCTTTTATGTTGTATGGGTCTTCTTTGATACAGCGATCAAGGTGTCAAACTTTCTTTTGATATTTTTTGTTTCTGTTCAAAATCGGAGAGATTTCTACAAGAAATTAGCCAGATTCTGCAATCCTTTTTTTTTTCTTTTCTTTTCTGCAAACTATTTACACCAAACTCTTTCCATATGTTATTGTAGGTGCTCTCTTGCCCTCTTTTGCCCTATGTAGATTTCGTTTACCTGTTGTGTCGATGCGGCTTCACTTCCATCTAATCTATTCGCATACGCCACCACTTGGTCCCTTGTTAGCAGATACAAACATTCATGTCGGTATTCATTCGATTGATATGTCAATGGTGGCACATTATTCTTCTCGTAACTGCCTTCAGTTATTGGCTCGAATTTGGAAAACTCATCACCGATTTTCATACAGCTTCCCCAAAGGAGTTCTAATCGGCAATTGTTTACAATAGAGCCACTTAAATGTGACATTGCGAGTTCTGCTGCGTTCCTTGATACAAACTTGACATATCCTTCTTGTAAATCACGCGATATCTTGCAGTAAATCAAGTCCCCAAAAGACAAAAACATAAGTGCAAGTTCATTCTCTGTAAACTTTGAAGACAACCCGCATATGTTGATATTAGTATTATTCTCATCTGTACTAGCTTCTAGTTCTGGCTGATTTTGTGCCAATGGTATTCTTTTGAGATCCGGTATTGAAGAATGAGAGCTTTGTTGAGTTGTTTCTGATCCGGCTGCAATACCGACCCTAATAGCTTTCGATCCCAACATGACACCTTGCATCTCCTTGAGAGCTTTTTCCATTACAGCTCCAGTGTAAAATTTAACAAACCCAAACCCCTTCCCGAGTTTCGACTCTTGATCGATTATAACTCTCGCCAGTTTGATTTGATTGGGGTATTTCAAATTGAACTTACTGTACAAGGCAGCGTCGGTAACATCCTGAGCCAAGTCGCCCACGAAAAGTGAAAATTCACCTGTTGATTGTCTACCGTTCCCTGTCCCTGCATTGCTGGAGATATTATTCTTTGAACTTGCCTGACTAAGTTTGAACTTTCGCTGCGTATTTGGTACCACTTGGCCGTTCCTCTGTAGAGCCCAATCGAGCGATTCCTGGTCTTCAAAAGTAACAAAGCAGTAAGACGGCTTCAGTGGATTGAGTCTATCTCGCATAATCTTGACAAACTTTGGTGGTGCAACCAAACTAGACCACATCAGATGAATAGAGTCTTCAGTCCAAGAAGGATCAAGGTCGCCCATCCACAATTGGTATCGGTTTTCATGTGATTTGGTGTTTGAATGCTGTTGATACAAGTTTTGTCTTGCTCTGTAAGAGCTGGAGCCCGGATTGCTATACGAGTCATATGAGTTATATTTTCTCTTGAAACCTCGATTATGACCGCCCGTTGATGCTTGTTGACCGTATGAATATGTACCACCTTGGCCCCTATTGGAGTGGTTTATGTTGTTATTGTGCCGACTGGGTGGGTACCTAGACAGGTGCAGCATACTGCTTTTTAGTGGTGTCAAAAAGAAGAATCGGAGGCAGAAGATGTAGAAACTTTTTTTTGATGCACACACAAATTCTCAATTTTGTGTGCCAACAATTTTGTCGCGGTAGAACTTTTCCAATTTCGATCTATTACGTACGACCCATGCACACTCAAAACAACCATCGATATCCACTCTTAGACGAGGGTTTGTCTCAAGCAAAGAGAGCAAAAACTCTTTTGCACTTTTTGAAACTAGTGCAAACTGTTTTCTAGCAAAATTCAACTGTCCTTGACGTGCTTGCAATAAAGTCTGCTCCTTCAGTTCAGAATAAAACGGTGATATACCAGTCAACAAAACATGTGTGACAATTCCTAGTGACCATGTGTCGCATTTATATCCATATGGCACCGCTGCTTTTCCTTTGTTGTCTATGTTGAAAACCTCGGGTGCACTGTACTCAATGGTTCCAACTGAGGTGCTGGTACGTGAGTACGTTAACTTTTTTGCTACACCAAAGTCGCAAATATATATGCGTGATTTTGGCAAGGGAAGCTGCAATAATATGTTATCTAGTTTCAAATCGCGATGGACAATCCGTAATTGTTTATGAAGAAACTGAAGGGCTTTCATTATTTGAAATACAATAAAGAGTGCCTCTTGCTCCCGTAATGCGCGAAGGCGGTTTCCCTTAACCAAATACGAAAATAGATCTCCACCGCAAACCAATTCTTGAAATAAGTAAGTAAACGAGTCAATTGTAATAGCATCATATATCCTGATGATGTTTGGCTAGTTGTGGAGTTCGTGTTAGTATTTGGTTGCAAAACAAAAAAAAAAAAAAAAAAAAAAAAAAAAAAAAAAAAAAAAAAAAAAAAAATTTAGTCACTCAAGAATCCGGGTTACTTACGTGTTGCACCCCTCGTAATAGATCATACTCGGAGTTATTGCTGCCGGGTCTCAACACTTTTACTGCATAAAGCTTGTGGTAATTGGTGGTTGACGATGCAACAAATACTGAACCAAATGATCCTGAGCCAATTAACGAGTCGCTGATATTCCAAGTTTCAATAGTGATGTTAGATTTGTCTTGTGTATCTTCTTCCCCCTCCAATGTTTCGTATGTAAAGACTCCAGCTGTTTTGAACTCAATAGTGTCACCATCCTTCAACATTCTCGTTTCTCCGTTGCGCATGTCTCTTCCGTTATGTAGCAATCCATTTCTTGAACTATCGTTCAAGTAAACCAAGGGTAAGGTGTCTGAATCAAACTGAACAGACCATACAGTCGCATGGTGTAACGAAATTGCTGGGTTGTCAATTCTCACATCGCAAGCCTTGCCACGGCCAATTTTTATAACTTCCAGAGCAAAAAGAGGAAGGGAATCAATGGGTTCAAATTTGGATTTCTTGGGCTTTTGACTCTTTGTGTAGGTTGTGACCTTGGTGTCGTTGAATGACTCAATTCTAAAGACTGCTATTATCTCCATTATACTGGTAAGGAAAAGAGAGATCACCTGGTTGGTAAAAATTTTTTGCAACACGATTTAAGAGTCAAAGAGCAAGACTTTTGGATGCGGTATATATAAACATGCAAGGTCTTGAAGGAGATACCAGTGGTAATTACAAAGATGCTTGGTTCGTAGTGACTATTAGGAAAGTCATAAGTAGACGCCATAAATTGGCTCTCCGAAAAGCTAAGAAAGCCAATGTGAACAGTAATAAATCAGTGAGGTAATGCATAATCGTATTGTTAAACTCAAGCTACCTCCTGAAAAGCCTATATTTGCCAACTCTTACTTTTCATTGCGCATGACATATAGACTACACTGTATTTGTGAGTGTGTTGTGTTAGTCAACCCAAAAGGGAGAAGCGAAGGAAGAAAAAAAAAAAAAAATCACTCTTCACAAAGGTTCACCTTCCAACAACTCACTAAGCAATACTTACCACTTACACAGACATCCCCTCATTCCTACTACTTCGAATACTCGACTCATACGGCAATGTTCTCTAGATTACTGAAAAGGATAACGACTCAAAGGTTTCAACACACTGCGACCAAACAAGCTTCTTCTGTACCTTTCAACAACAAATTCAACTTCAACTTAAATCCACCACCAGTACATGAATATTGGAATGCTTACAACTCGAGTGTCCTTTTTGCATTTGTGCCGGTGTTTTTGGGTATTGCGTATGCCGCTAAGTACATTGGTGTCAACTTAGAAGGAAATGCAGGTTTGTTGGAATTTGCCAATGCCGAGAATTCCCCAATAAAGTCCATAAAATTTGGTGAACCACAGCTAGCAAAAGTATCGGAAGATTAATTGATATGAATGGATGGGGCTTGAGTCCAAACGGAGAAGGCTGATGAACAAATTTTGTAATTTAGAGATGCGTTGTATAGTACAATTCTACAAATCAATGATGCACCTATCTAAAACTGAAGTAGCAGGTAGCTTTAGATGCACCTACACCGTGAGCATTTTGCGTTCTTTGCCGTCAAAAGGAGCCAAAACAGCAGTAGTTAAGTGTTCCTTTCTTTTAATGTAAGCATGACCTCTTTCGCGTTGAATCTCATTGGCTCAGACAATTCAAACACAAGAAAGAAAGAAAGAAAGAAAGAAAGAAAAAAAAACGAAAAGAAAAAAAAGAGTTGAGAGGAAGCTGTAAAACCACTACATCAATAGCAAATTATAAGCTACACTTCACAATGAGTTTTCGTCTAGGAGCAAGGTCGTGGGCACTTCGTCCATCAAACGTACTCTTAAAAGCTACGTCTACAAACTCCATCAAGCAATTGAACTTGATAAGGCAAAACTCAACCAAGGCAACAATATACGACCAAGTCACGGGCAAGACGATAGTGCTTACCGACCCTGAACACCCTGAATTGGCTGACTACAAAAACCCTCCTCCTGTCTTGGCCCAAAAGAAGGACCCCTATGTGAAATATGATGACCAGCAAAACAGAAGAAACTTGAACGATCCAGTAAACATTGATGAAGATCTTTACGACATCTGGTCTCCTGACTATTACGATTTTGTGTCCGACTCAACTGCATTGAAACATAACGGTATATTTTTCGGTCTACTCTTTGGAATTGCTGGTGTTGTTGCCTACTTCCAATTGAACCCAGAAAAGCCGGCTATGATTAGGTCATTTCCATATAATGGATTAGCTGATGCTTTAGGTGCGACATCAAAGGAAAACGCTTCCTTCTATCAAAATAAACCAGATCTTGATGCCGAAAAAGAATGTGGTGTTTTACCAGAGGAGTCGGACGTTGCTTCGAATAGAGACTCTTATGAAAAGAGCAATGCTTCTTTTATCAACGCTTAGGAGTAATGCTATGGAAGCTTGTTAATTGATAGGTATATGCTGTTTTCAAATACATAAATTATTCAATACTGCTGTAAGATTACCGTAGTTGGTTTATGAAAGTACTCATAATAATGTGTGTGTGTATATGTGTGTGTGTGTTTGTGTGTGTGTCCTTCATTAGTAAATTTCAATGGCTTCGCGTTTTATCAACCTTATTTCTTTTTTTCTTTTTTTCTGCTATCACTCCGTCTTTTTTTTGCCTCTTGAGTGAATATTGAAGCATCACCATAAATCATGACAGTAGAAGTAAGGCGAACGAGGACACTGGCCAGGATAAGCAATGGGAAGACAAATGCTCCAGTTTACAATGAGCGTCGAGCCGCCCTTTCGAAAAGAGCAAATCAAACCCCGGACGATAAAATCGACAATACCACCAATCTGCACAAGAGGCGAAAAGTTCAAGAACAGTCAAAGGAAGATAAACTTGCGAGTATCCTTTTTGATTTTGACCTTGCTGTCAATGAGCTATACCATCTTTCGGAGTATAAATCAATAATAAGTTGGGTTCCCACTGAATTTTCAAAAAACTTTAACAAATCAGTTCCCGAGTCATATTTGAGATTTACCGAAACTAATGGATACAACTTGAAATGGGATGAAGAAATTGAAAATGATGAAGAGTTGAAATCACTTCCGTTCAGATTTCAGAAGAAGAAACTTGCCGAAAGGGAAGCCTCGTTGACTTCAAAATTCCCCTTTCGAAAACAAACAATTGACAAGTATCAACAAAGGGAAAATGAAATTTTCAATAAGATCAACCAAGAAAGTTTGACTAATAATATCAAAACGAAACCCTCCAGCAAGTCAAAAGAGCCAGTTAAAAAGGATGTACACAAAATACGATCTCAAGTAAAGGCATCGAGGAAGCAGGACAACCCCCCACAAGTCTTTGAGGTAACGGAAGATGTGATTGATGTCTCAAATAATAGCGACAGTGGTCAGGGAATATTAAATGACGAGAGCAAAGATATGCATGTCTCACTTAACAAAAGGATAAAACGCATTTCTAGGAGCTTGCCAAAGCTTCTTATAACACATCCGTCTCATGTTCCTGGTTGGATCCCACAATCTGCAGATACGGACTTGCTGGCCGGCAAATCTAAACACGAGAGTAAGACGCTCAATTTCAAGCCTGAGGATGTGAGGATTGAACAAACACAAGATGAAGAAATTATCGCTTCAAATCTATCCACGAAACTACAATGCTTTTTGCAAAATTCTTATAGAACTCCAATTATTGATGAACTGAATGCTCCAGATTTCAAATTCACAAAAGAAGAGTTTGATACAGTAAATGCACAACAGAGAGAGATGTTCAAAACTATCTGGCATAAACTCAACATTGATAATACCTTAGAATTCAATGCCAACAAGATAGAACGAAGAAAAGTTATCATCCCTCCTATTTCAAATGTCAAGTTGAATGATCCATTCAGGAATACTTCCTCGGTGATTCCAAAGATGCAAGGTTCTAACAATGATTTGACCCACCAGGATTACTTGTTATCGCAAGGCATGGCATTTTCGCGCATTCATCATCAAATGAGACGACAGCATATTAATCGTGCTCGAAAAGTTGCATCTATAATCGACCAACATTTCAAAAAGAAAAGAGGTGAGAAAGAGCGACTTTTGAGGGAGCAAGAACAAAATTTGAAAAAGATGAGTAGAGTTGCTATGCAGGCAGTTAAAAAGAGATGGAATGATGCTTTCAAGGTGTACCTGATTATTCAAACGGCAAAGGAAGAAGAGCTCAAAAAGGTAAAGGGACGAGAGCATTTAAGTCAAATGTTGCAGCATTCAACTCAGCTTCTCGAAGCACAATTAACTTCGTCTAAAGAAGCAACTGCAGAGATTGAGAGTGATACATGCGGAGACGATGATGTGGATGTGGATGATACCGATGATTCAGACAATTTCTCGTCAAGCTCGGAGGATGAGGAGGAGGAGGAAGATGAGAACAAGAATAAGGCCGAGAATGGTTCTACTAGAGAAGATGATGCCGACATAAACCTATCTGTTGAAGAGTTGAGGAGAAAATATGCAAACATCGAAAGTTCTGTTGAACCGAGTTCTGAAGCTACATCAAATATGTCTAAGGAGAGAGAAGCGATGCTGGACACCGAAGAGGAAAGTTTCGACGAAACTGGTGGGTTGATGTCTTTATATGGGGAAGGTGAAGTAATACCAACACAAAATGGAGTATCAAAGGACCTGCAGATGTCTGATGATTATTTAAAAATAATCAGCGAGCTGGAATTCGACAAGAATCAACTTTTGGACTCTGACGAAAGCAGTCCTATTTCTGGATCAAGCTCCGAAAACGAGCTGTCAGAGGATTCTGGGAATGAAAAAGACTCCAATGCTGAGTCAAGCGAGCTGGAACTACCCAATGGAACGCCTTTGGCCAATTTGTATGCTACAAAAAGTGGAGATGCTGATGACGAGATTGACGAAGATGTCCAAAGTTTCAGCGAAGAAAGCGATGAGAATATGCTGGATTCTGAGAAGGAAACTGATGTTGCTGGCAGGAAAAACGCAAACGAGGACCGCGTGGATAAAGTTTCTACAAATGAAGAGGAGGAAGGTACAGAGATTGTAAATGGCTCAAGGGTCAGAGATGTTGAAGTACCTTCTTTACTCCGTGGAACACTCAGGCCCTACCAAAAACAAGGTCTTAACTGGTTAGCGAGCCTTTACAACAACAACACCAACGGTATATTGGCAGATGAGATGGGTTTGGGTAAAACTATCCAAACAATATCACTATTGGCTTATTTGGCCTGTCAGCATCACATCTGGGGACCCCACTTGATTATTGTCCCTACGTCAGTCATGCTAAATTGGGATATGGAATTCAAAAAGTTTGCTCCCGGGTTCAAAGTTTTGACATACTACGGATCACCACAGCAAAGAGCACAGAAAAGAAAGGGATGGAACAAACCGGATGCGTTCCACGTTTGCATCACCTCTTACCAATTAGTGGTGCAGGATCAGCAAGCTTTCAAAAGAAGGCGCTGGAGGTATATGATTTTAGATGAGGCGCACAACATTAAGAATTTTCGGTCGACCAGATGGAAAGCGTTACTCAATTTCAATACTGAGAACAGGTTGCTACTCACTGGTACTCCCTTGCAAAACAATTTGATTGAATTGTGGTCCTTATTGTACTTTTTGATGCCCTCTTCCAAAGCCAACTTGTCGATGCCCGAAGGATTTTCAAATTTGGAGGATTTTCAACAATGGTTTGGTAAACCCGTTGATAAGATTCTAGAGCAAACGACATTAGGCAATAACTCTGACTTGATTGATGAAAATGAAAAGGCAACGCTGAAAATGGATGAGGAAACAAAAAATACAGTGTCGAGATTACATCAGGTGTTGCGGCCGTACATTTTACGAAGATTGAAGAAGGATGTGGAAAAGCAAATGCCGGGAAAATATGAGCATATTGTTTACTGTCGACTTTCCAAAAGACAGAGATTCTTGTATGATGACTTTATGTCTCGTGCAAAGACAAAGGAAACATTGGCTTCAGGCAACTTTTTGTCCATCATCAACTGTTTGATGCAATTGAGAAAAGTTTGCAACCATCCAGATTTGTTTGAAGTGAGACCGATAGTGACATCTTTTTCCATGTCGAAGTCAGTTTCATCACCTTTCCAATACGTGAATGAATTAGTCAAGAAAATGACTGTCAATTCAAAGGAAATGGTTGACTTTAATGTACTCAATTTGAATATAACTAGCAATGATCGTCTAAATCATTTTGTGTCGGAGGCAACCTCACGATTGCAGTCACTGGCTCCAATACAAGGGCAAATTCAAGAGTTGGAGAGTTTAATCGCCAACGTGGAAAACACTTCCACAGATTTTGTTTCCTGTTTCCAAGAATTGAAGAGTCAGGAGCAAGTTGAGCTCAAGAATAAGCTTCTGCATGTTCTTTATCTCAACACATTAAGATGCGAAAGAAAGTCAATTTATGGCGACTCGTTACTTGACATCTTAACAATTAAGGACAAAAAGTTTAACCTGCCGCCATTTGACAAGCTAAGTTTGTCCATTGCTGAAAGAGCTAATGTCATGTCGGACGAGATTGAAAAATACTCCATAGTAACACCTGCAGCAGTTGCGTTGGATATGAAAGACCAGTTAATTCCTAAATCCATTCAGTACAAAGTGAAACCTGAAGTTATGAATGGCGCAATAACCAATCCTTTCCACCAGTCTCAAGTGAAATTGTCAATAGCTTTTCCTGATAAAACGTTGTTACAATTCGATTGTGGTAAGCTTCAGAAATTAGCCCAGTTGTTGAGAACACTAACTGCCGAAGGTCATCGTGCTCTAATCTTCACGCAAATGACAAAAGTGCTTGACATTTTGGAACAATTTTTGAATATTCATGGTTATCGGTACATGAGATTGGATGGTGCTACAAAAATCGAAGATAGGCAGTTATTGACAGAGAAGTTTAACCGTGACTCTAAGATCCCAGTATTCATCTTGTCAACTAGGTCAGGTGGATTGGGTATTAATTTAACGGGTGCGGATACGGTGATATTTTACGACTCAGATTGGAACCCAGCTATGGACAAGCAGTGTCAAGATCGATGCCATCGTATAGGGCAAGTTAGAGACGTTCATATTTACCGATTTGTATCTGAGTCCACAATTGAGTCCAACATCATCAAAAAGGCCAATCAAAAGCGGCAATTGGACAATGTTGTCATCCAAGAGGGTGAATTCACTACTGATTATCTAGGACAATTCTCTGTTCGCGATTTAGTGAATGATCCAAACATTTCAGAAAGCACAAAGGAGCTAGCCAATAGAACTATTGACTTTTCAGGTGACACGAAAATGACCAATGCATTTGCACAAGCAGAGGATGAAGAGGATAGAGTAGCAGCTGGAGCGGCTTTGAAGGAGGTTGCTGTTGATGATGAAGACTTTACGGATGAAACCAAGACGCAATCCAATGGCGCGACCAGTTCACCAGCGTTGAAAGGTTTAGATGTCGATGGGGAAATACCAGATGACGTCGACTTCGAAGAGGGTGTTGGTCACATTGATGAGTACATGTTGCGGTTTATCTCCGATGGCTATTACTAAACAATAAAGACATAGCTGTCTGTAGTATTGTATATATATATAGAGCTTTGTCAATCTGTACATAGTTGAATGGATGAACGGAGATCTGGTTTTCTGCATGTACAATCCTAAACCGGTATTTCGGTCATTGAAGTATATTGCCGCTGATATTTTCCCGATGCGGTAGCTAGAAGCTCCCCTTTCCCCCCCACAAAAAAAAAAAAAAAAGAAAACTTTTCTGACTCCTTCTGCTTTAAACTCTGCTGCATGGTTAAATGGAACATTTGTAGGTGTGCTCGAGTGGAGGGCCAGCCACTACGAGTCAAATATTGAACAAACTCATTAACTGATTTTGAATCTTTTCTAGACTCAGAGTTTCAACTAAACGTCTTTGATAACATTGATGTAACGTATTTCCGATTTGCTGCAAGAAAGTTTTCTTGTTTCTTTTTTCTTCCCTCTTTTAAGGTTTTTCAGTTCCGTGGAAATTATACCCTAAGCCAATTCTGAGTCATTAGTTAATGAAACTGAGCTAACACAACGTTATATATAGCCCCTTTACTTCCTGTGCAACTTTTTCCGTTCTGCTTTCAGTACTATGTCACCAACGGAACAGGACAATCACATTGATGGTGGTTTAGAACTAGAGGATAGTGAAACCCGCACACCAGCCGCATCAATCTCATCGAAAATGACATCAGACCAAATTCCACTGCATGGTGTGGCGGACGATGAAGGACGCGTTGAGTTCAAGGATCTGGAACATACTGCTGATTACAAAAACGAGGAGATATCTCTGAAATCGACGCACTCAACAGTACGACAGTTTTTAAGAAAAGAACTCATTGATGATTTCCATCCCAACTATTTTGTCTCCTTTTTGGGATGTGGAATCACGGGTAACATTTTTTATGGCTTCCCATACAAAGCCCGTTGGCTAGAGGTTTGTGGAATCATGTTCTTTTGCATCACAATCTTCTTCTTCGTTGTCACGAGTATCATGTGTGTTTTGAGTTGCTGGTTTCACCCGCGGCGAATGGCTCTTTACATCCATGACTATAGCCATTCGCTATATTTTGCAGTTTACTCAATGGGGTTCAGTACTATAATAAATGGAGTGAATTTGCTAACGCATGGACGGTATCCCATATTCTTGTGGGTTTTGTGGTGGATAGGTGTGGTTCTTGCCGTCATGAATACGGCAGTCATATTTTTCTTTTCTTTCTTGTCAAAATTCAGTGCCCATAGAATTGCCGATATCAATGCTAGTATATTCATGCCTGTTGTCTGTTGTTGTGTTATTTCATCGCCGGGGCATCTCATCGCTGCTGAGTTGGAGACACGCAATCAAAAAATTATCACCGAGCTCACATCATTGATGTTGTTTTTCATATCCATTATGCTTTTTCATGGAGTTGGTGCTGTCTTTATGGTTAGGTTGATTTTATGCAAAATACCAAGTACTTCACAGATTTTTACTCAGTTCTTACCGATTGGTTTTGTTGGTCAAAGCAGTTACAGTATAATGCTTTTTGGGAACAACATGTACAATTTTATCCCTGATGATGCTTTGGCAAAAGCATTCTTGGTCCCCTCGGCTTTGGCTGCATACCTATTACTAGCAGGAGGTTACATCTATTTGTTTATAGCAATTGCATCCTGCATGTCAAAAAGTTCCCCATTTGCTAAAAATCATGACCCAGAGTGGACAACAAAGAGGTTTGGATTGATAAAATGGAATAAAGGATGGTGGACAATGACTTTCCCGGTAGGAACTATGTCTCTTGCTAATAGTGAAGTGTCCAAGGGAGTTGCGGGCTATGATTTCTTGTTTTTCAAAGTCATGAGTGCAATAATAGGAGCGTCGTTGTTTATCATCTGTATTATAAACTTGATTGGGTTGAGTTATTGTATATGGGAGAGATTTCACAAGGCGTTCTTTATGCACGAATGCCGCATCGGTAAAATAAATCAAAAAGTATAGAGTTTATAGAAATAATGAGTAATGTGTTGAAATTGAGTGAAGCTGGCTTCCTCTCTATATGTGTCGGTGTAAAGGCGTTTTGATCTTACAGACCCCGCATGTTTAAGAAAGGTTCACGGGACACTTGCGAGAGCTAAATGAACTGTTCATCACCGATAGGGTACCAAGAAGAGAGTTGTTACTTTGAGAAAGTCCTTGTATGTCGACACTTCAAGAAGAGCTGTTGAAAAGGTCAACTTGAAATGGATTGACACTGCTTCTAAATTCGGTAAGGGTAGATTCCAAACTCCAGCTGAAAAGCACGCTTTCTTGGGTACTTTGAAGAAGGACTTGGAAAACTAATTTCGGAGAGATACTTCTTTTTTTTTTTAATTGAATAGCATGTGGTAGGTACATATTATTATTATTAAAGCAGTATGTTTCTGATTTTCAAAGTCTTGTAGTAGGCGTAGACTGTTTTGTTGGAAATTGTTGCAAAAAAAAACAAAAAACAGAAAAAAAGAAAAAAAGATGCAAAGTACTGTACTTGGCTGCTATACGGGAATACCCGGAAGGGTGTGTAAGAAGCATACGAGACTCTCAAAGTGGTCCGTCTGTCGTTAAAAGAGCCAAGTGCCGGGAACGGCCACCGCGACAAGTGTTCAGATGAAACGTGTGATGTGTAGCCCCTTATATATCTCGTTTGGGTGCTGTGTGTGTGTGTGTGTGTGCGTGTGTGTTGATTTGGTTGATACATTATATGGGTATATTGCAGTACCGCAATGTGATTGGCTCGATTAACTTATCAGTAATGTGTAGATAATGTATTACGTAATTTAATTTTGCTTAGCCGTTGTTAAATTTCTTTTTTTTTTTTTTTTAATTTTTGTTTTTTTTTTGTTTCTGAAATTGCCAGGTACGGTCTAGATAATGCACAAGCGTGGATAGACGTGAGGGTGAAGTATGCATCGTGAAGATGTGATTACCGAGGACAATAGGACCGGCTTAGAAAAGCTGGGGTATGGTCAAGTTGGTTGACAGTTCGTAGTAGCTTATGCTTTGCGGAAGAAGGGACAGGTTGCAAAAAGCGAACAAGAAAAAATTGCCATTGCAGTAACCGAGAAGGTCAAGTTGAGCATCTCTCTCAGCTCACAGACTTTAGCGAAGGAACCGTATCAGCGGGGGCCAGATACATAGTAGAGCTTCATACGTCGGTCCTCCTCATCGAACGCACCCTGGCCCTGGGTCGCTTCTAGAGCTACATATGGTACGATTGCAACGCCTGGATCTTAAAGACGCACATGGAAAATGGCAAAATAAAAAAAAAAAAATAAAATAAAACAAGAATTTAAGTTACACTAAAAATTAAGCAGAGCAGAGCAGAAAGACACACAAGTCATAATATATATAGTATACAGAAGTTATCGAATATCAAATTTCATTTAATCTTTAGACCTGGAAAATAAATAAAAAAACCAAAGTCATTACTTGCATACTTGTTCTTCTTCGATCGTCAACACAAGGGACCAATCATCTACCCACACTGTGTCTATTTATCCGACAAATAAAACCCTGCCCGTCCTTGTTCAAGCCACTTACTACACATTCACAATGAAGGACCAACTACTACAACTCGCAAAGAGAAAACTATACGATAACAAAAGCTACGATCCATCAGATGTGTTGGTGCTAACCATAGCTGCCTCAATAATCTGGCTCATGATACCGGGTCTCGCATTTCTATACTCGGGTCTATCACGAAGAAAAAACGCCTTGTCCATGATTTGGATCGTCGCCATGTCCAGTTTCGTTGGCATATTCCAGTGGTACTTTTGGGGGTACTCGTTAGCATTCAGCAAATCGAGCAATTCGTTCATTGGCAACCTTCAATATTTCGGATTCAAAGATCTAATCAGTAGCAGTTCCGAAGCTAGTGGTACTGTTTACTCACAGATCGCGTACGCGATGTTCCAGTTGCAGTTCTTGTTGGTCACGCTAGCGATCCTTGCGGGAGGATGTATTGGAGAAAGAGGCCGTTTCTTGCCGGCAATGGTATTCTTGTTTTGCTGGGCAACGATTGTTTACTGCCCCGTGGTGTACTGGGTATGGGGTGGTGGCTGGGCCTCCACCTTCAAATCTGGAGCTCTTGACTATGCCGGTGGTGGCCCTGTGGAGATTCTTTCTGGTGCTTCTGCTTTTGTATACTCTGCATTCTTGGGAAGGCGGAATGATAACCTACTTATCAACTACCGTCCACACAATATCAGTTTTGTTTACCTCGGGACGATCTTGTTGTACGTGGGGTGGCTATTTTTCAATGGGTTCTCGTGTGCCAATGCAAGTATCAAAGTGCCGTACTCCATGATGAACACACATTTGGCCGCCGGTTTTGGCGCTGTGAGTTGGTGCTTATTGGATTACCGGTTGGAGAATAAGTGGTCAATGGTTGCCGTTTGTTCGGGTTGCATTTCTGGTCTTGTTGCAGCCACGCCTAGCTCAGGCTGTATCCCTCTTTGGGCAAGTGTCATAGTGGGAGTTGTTGCTGGTGTCGTTTGTAACTTGTCGACAAAGATCAAGTACTTGTGTCGTGTTGATGATTCCTTGGACGTGTGGGCCGAGCACGGGGTTGCTGGAGTCATTGGTCTCATTTTTAATGCCATACTTGGGTCCAAGACAGTTATCGGATACGATGGAGCTACTGACCACGAGGGAGGCTGGATCGATCACAATTGGAAGCAGTTGTATATCCAGATTGCATACATCTTGGCATGCTTAGCCTACTCTGCCGCCGTGACTGCTGTTCTTTGTTTTGTTATTGACCATATTCCTGGCTTGCATTTGAGGTTGAAATACGAGGAGGAGGAAGTGGGAGTGGATGAGTCGCAAATTGGCGAGTTTGCTTACGACTATGTCGAAGTTAGGAGGGAGTTTTACCTGGGATTCAACGGTGAGACTGATGAGGTGGCAATGGATGAAACAAACTTGGGCGCTAGGCGCCACTCGGATGAGCGTAGTAATATTATCAATGGAGTTGCAAATTCGTCAACGACAAGTCTATCTAAGGACGAGAAAGCTAAGCACGAACAAAACAACAAGTCGAGTGCCGAGTCTGAGGATCATGAGGTGAGGTCATTCCGTCCAGAAGAGGAGACGAGTAGAGATAAAGTAAAAGAGGTACAGTAATAAAAAGTATAGATTCCGTTTGATTTGAAGTTGTAGGAGAGACTCTGTTGCGTCAGTCTAATTGTGCGCGACAATTTCCAATTTAAACCAACGCAAAAAAAAAAGAGATCCACAACGCAATAAGCTCCTCCAACAGCACCAGCAACAGCACCAGCACCAGCACCATACAGCTCTAACGCCATGTCTTCAGGAATACAGTCATTGTTGAAAACAGAGAAAGAAGCTGCCGAGATAGTCAACGAGGCTAGAAAATACAGAACCAGCAGATTGAAAACAGCCAAGCAAGACGCCCAACAAGAGATCGAAGACTACAAGAAGCAAAAGGAGGAGGAGTTACAGAAATTTGAAAAGGACCACGAGGGTGTAAACGACCAAATCAATAAGGAAGCCGAAGCTGAAATTGAAAAGGAATTGAAGAGCTTGAAAGAACAGTTTGAGAAGAAAAAGTCCGATGTGGTGAAGTTGTTGGTTGAAGCTACAATCTCGCCTAACCCTCAAGTACACATCAATGCTAATACATAAATACACACATAAAGTAGTAATACAAATGCTAACTCTTGGCCAAGTTTTTGAATGACTTCACTTTTGCCCAGAGACGTCCGTCGTAGCCGGCAATATTCAAGTTCTCTACAAACCGCCACGCCTTCTTATCGTCTGCGATAGGATAGTCAATGGGTGGCGGGATGGCCGTAGCAACGCCAAGCATCCGCAAAAAGGGCTTATCCAGAACCACCGACTTGGCATTGCATAGTCCGGTAAGACCCTCCTCTCCTCCAAACTTGCCATATCCAGACTTTTTCACCCCACCAAATGGTAGTTGGGCCACGTAATATGTAGCAAAGTCATTGATGGCAACGTTACCACTGTCTAGTCTATCGGCAAGATAACTCAATTGTGTGAAGTCGCGACCAAAGATGGAGTTTCCCAAGCCGTAGTCGGTGCTGTTTGCCAATTCAATGGCATCATCAATGTCTTTTGCCTTTATCATGGTCAAAATTGGACCAAACACTTCTTCATTGAAGATCCGCATTGTCGGGTCAACATCAATCAACATTGTGGGTCCAAAGTAGTGGCCCTGTGGATAGTTTGGATGCTGATCTATATTTCAATGTGTTCCAATGATGCAATGCCGTATTCACGTGATAAGTACTTGGAAAACGGTAGCAGCTTGATAATTTCAAATTTCTTCCGGTTGTCCATGTCAGAAAAGTTTTTGTCCGATTCAGGCCCGTATTACTGCATACAACGGCTGGGGAGCAAATGTCAAATCAATGAAGCATCTTATGCAACACAAGAGAGAAATAAAAGTCCTCCATTGCGCCTCGTTAAGACGTGCAGCCTTCCAGAAGAGTAAATGGACGTTATCGTTATCCTTCCCTCTCTTATATTCACTACGGAGATTCAATGAATAAACCTCTACTACGTACGTCTCCTTCTCTTTTTGTGTCGAGAATGGAAATTTTTCATTTCTTTTTTTTTTTTTTTCTTCTTCTCTTCTGTTTCTCTTTCTTTCAAATTAGTCACAAATTTTTCACATTTATATATTTTCCATCTTTCTCCACACCAGCAAAAGCATACCTTCTTCTTCCTTTTGTCTTTCCTTCCATCTTCATCCACTACTACTTCTACATATTCATAAAGACTACTATGCTTTCACGTCACTTGTCAAGGTGTTGTAGCAAAAGAACTACACAAAATCTATATCTTGCTTTGAAATCCCAAACAAGATCAATCTCAAAGATAAATCATCACAATGCAGCCCAAGCCACAACTACATCAAGACCACAACCATCTCCGGCATTCAACCTTTCTGATGCTGAGTCTCCTTCGCTGCCTCAGCCAAAGAGCCTTTCAAAGCAGCAACGTCGTGAGAAGAGGGAACAGACCATGGACGATTCTTTTATTGGATTGACTGGTGGTGAAATTTTCCATGAAATGATGTTGAGACATGATGTTGATACTGTTTTTGGATACGCCGGAGGTGCCATTTTGCCAGTTTTCGACGCTATTTACAACTCTGAGAAATTCAAGTTTGTTTTACCAAGACATGAACAAGGTGCTGGACACATGGCTGAAGGTTATGCTAGAGCTAGCGGGAAGCCAGGTGTTGTTTTGGTAACTTCTGGTCCCGGTGCCACTAATGTCATTACTCCAATGGCCGACGCTTTGATGGATGGAGTTCCATTAATTGTCTTTACCGGTCAAGTGCCAACTAGCGCTATTGGTACTGATGCTTTCCAAGAGGCAGATGTTATTGGTATTTCGAGATCATGTACCAAATGGAATGTTATGGTTAAGAATGTTGCTGAATTACCAAGAAGAATAAACGAAGCTTTTGAGATTGCCACAACTGGTAGACCAGGTCCAGTTTTGGTTGATTTACCAAAGGACGTCACGGCGTCTATTTTGAGAGAATCTATTCCTATAAATACCACTTTACCATCTAACGCATTGAGCACAATTACCAAGAAGGCCGTTTCCGAGTTCACCACAGAAGCCATCAAAAGGTCTGCTGATATATTGAACAAGGCCAAGAAGCCTATCATCTACTGCGGTGCTGGTATTTTGAACCATGAAGATGGTCCAAAGTTGCTTAAAGAGTTGGCTGATAAAGCAAACATTCCTGTAACTACAACTTTACAAGGATTGGGTGCTTTTGATCAAAGAGATCCAAAGTCATTGGATATGTTGGGTATGCACGGTTCAGCAGCTGCAAACACTGCTATCCAAAATGCTGATTGCATCATTGCTCTTGGTGCTAGATTTGATGATAGAGTCACTGGTAACATCGCCAAGTTTGCTCCAGAAGCAAAATTAGCTGCTGCTGAAAACAGAGGTGGTATCTTGCATTTCGAAATCTCACCAAAGAACATCAACAAGGTTGTTGAGGCTACTGAGGCAGTGGAAGGTGATGTTACTGCCAACTTGCGTAAATTCATTCCACTTGTAAACCAAGTCGAGTCTAGACCTGAATGGTTCGAAAAAATTGATGCATGGAAGGAACAATATCCATACTCATACCAAGTTGAAACTCCGGACTCCAAGATAAAGCCACAAACCTTGATCAAGGAGATCTCCGAACAGTCAATGAAATACGATAAAGATGTTTATGTTACTACTGGTGTTGGCCAACATCAAATGTGGGCAGCACAACATTGGACTTGGACCAAGCCTAGAACAATGATTACTTCTGGTGGTTTGGGAACTATGGGTTACGGATTACCTGCTGCCATTGGTGCTCAAGTCGCCAGACCAGATGCTATTGTGATTGACATTGACGGTGATGCATCATTCAACATGACTTTGACTGAATTATCGTCCGCTGTGCAAGCTGGTGCTCCAGTCAAGGTTTGTGTTTTGAATAACGAAGAGCAAGGTATGGTTACCCAATGGCAATCATTGTTTTACGAGCATAGGTACTCACACACACATCAAGCTAACCCAGATTTCATGAAGTTGGCTGACGCTATGGGGGTCAAAGGTATCAGAATTTCCACCCAGGAGGAATTGAAGCTGGGTGTTAAAGAGTTTTTGGATTGCCAAGAGCCTGTCTTGTTGGAAGTTATGGTTGAAAAGAAGGTCCCTGTTTTACCAATGGTCCCAGCAGGTAAAGCCTTGGATGATTTCATCTTGTGGGATTCTGAGACTGAAAAACAACAAAATGCATTGAGGAAGCAAAGAACCGGTGGATTGTATTGAACAGGGGGGGAGGCAGTTATTCTTGATATCAGAAAAGGAAAAAAAAAGTTTCTAGTTTATGTTCTTTTTGTAATTTAAGTTATACGATTATATATATATATATATATATATATATATTTAAATGGAAGTCGGTATAAGGAAGGGTCGCTTCCTTTTTCTTATTTTCAATTCCGAGTCAAAAAGTTTTTGCAGGAGTTGCAAATGGGTTGTTTGTGCGGCATCAAAGGTGAATTTTCCAGATTCTTTCAGACCAATACCGCCCAACTTCAAAGCAGGGAAATACCACCACCTTCTTTAACACGACAATGGTTCACAAAATCCTTGACTACTTCCAGCTGAACAAGGTCCTTAACCAAAAAATTGGCTTTGAACTACCATTGGACCATAAGGATGCCAAATCGCGCAAGATCCAAGTCGTGGTTACCATTTCTCAAAAATACGATCGAACCAAGCACGCCAATTTGGATGGGTTTGAGAAAGTCGTCTTGCCTGAGTCACCCAATTTAATACTTTATTTACAAGGAGGGCCAGGGTTTGGTTGTTCTGTCCCCACCAGCTACACGGGGATAACCAAAGTGTTGTTGGATGAAGGATATCAAATCGTGTGGATGGATCAAAGAGGCACAGGCGGCAGCACCCCTATTGATTACAAGACATTGAGTGAAAGTCTATCCACTAAATCTTCGGTTGATGATCAATTGGAAACAATTTTGAACTTTCGTGCGGACTCAATTGTGAAGGATGCAGAATTGATTCGTAGGGAGTTGATTGGTGATGACGTCAAATGGTCTTCATTGGGTCAATCGTATGGCGGATTTTGCAGCTTTACTTACTTGTCACTTTATCCTGACTCCTTGAAGCACGTGTTTGTTACAGGTGGTGTACCGCCAATTGGATTTGACGTTGATGCTGTGTACACACAAACTTACAAACGTACAAAGGAGAGGAATGCGCATTACTATAGTAAATATTCCCAGGATGTTGCTCGTGTGGTGGAAATATGTCAATACTTGAAGTCAAATGAGACGATCTTACCGGATGGAGGCAGATTATCAGTCGAACGGTTTCAACAATTGGGTCTCAATTTTGGAGGTTTTGGTGGCACTGACGAAGTCCATAAAATTGTGACATCTTTTTGGCAAGATTTGCAAACGTTCAAGTACCCAACTGTGTACACACTAACATTGGTACAGAATGCCATGTCGTTTGATACCAATGTCATTTATGCTCTTTTTCAAGAAGCGATCTACTGCAGTGGGAAAACTAAGAGCAACTGGAGTGCAGACAGGTTGAGATATGCTCCTGGTAATGAAAAGTTTCAACTCAACGATAAAGAGATTTATTTCACTGGTGAAATGGTTTTCAAAAGCATGTATGAAGATTATGCTCAACTTAGACAATTCAAAACTTTAGCTTACGCATTGCATGAAAAAGACTCTTGGAGCACATTGTACGATGTCAACAAGTTGCAAAAAATTACCTGGAAGGATGTGCCTATAGTTGCCACAACGTACTATGCCGATCAATATGTTGATTTTGAATTGACAAGAAACGTTAAGCAACAATACCTCCCATCTTGTAACTTACGTCAATACATTACAAACGATTTGTTTCATAATGGGTTACGAATCGATCCAGAAAAAGTTCTTGGATCAATGTTTAAATTATTAGATAACGACTTCGATTAAAAAGACTTTGTTTTTTTTTTTAAACATAGTTATTAGGTACAAATCCAATTCTGTAGTCATTGCTATCCTGTTGTTGAATTACTCCAACAAGCCAATTTAAGTTGTTTTGCTGGTATAGCGTATCCACATTTTGTAAGTCAAATACAATTTCAATGGTGTCGCCCTTTTTGAATGACAAATCGCCTACTTCAACACCAGTGAAATCGTATTTGGCAATTCTCGTAGTTCGCTTTACCATATTTAATTTGTGGTAAAAATGATCAAGCAAGGCGAGTTTATAAGCATCTGTTAATTGATGTTCTGGTTTTTCCAAATCTGGCATGACATTGAAATCTGACAAAAGTGTTGGTGCAAGTTTGATGTCATTCTTGCCCGAATTATAGATTTTGCGCAACTCCTTGTCTACTGAAATATCACCACTAGTGTAGCCTGCTAATGAATGAGTGTGCACAGAGCTTACCAGGGAAGCATCCGATATGACGGTTTCATCGTCACTATTCAACGACAATGATTCCAATGAGTTTGCAGCACTTTGTGAATAGTAAACACGAGATGGAGCCGGGGTGGTCTGTTGCATAGACTTGAACGAAGCGAGTGCTGGTCGAGGAGGAAGTTCAGGGCGGAAACCAACAGTCTTTTCCACGACAACATCATCGAAGCCTAAAACTTTTCTAGGATGGTACGTTTCCGATTGATTGGCTTGTGGGTTGTTGTATTTCGCAAACGAAAAGATAGGATCGGCCTCAGTGGTATCATTGAACATACCTGCACTCACATCTCTGGGTTGCACTGTGTGACTTTTGTCGAAAATCTTGTTTGACAACTTGTGATAAAACTTGTATGCCTTCAGTGACTTGTCTTCATCGTCGATTTCCACATTCAATAAATCTGTCTTTGAATTTTGCAAAATTGTGATAAATGACTCAATTTGTAACCTGGTGGAAGTTATATCCAGTTCCCATTGGTTCACAATAGCTTCATAATTGGGCACTTCTTCGTAAATAAACCCATAAAATGTGGCAAAGTGCTCCAAGCTTTTTACAATTTTAGCATAAATACTATCTTGTTTCAAGATGAGTAAATCTGTAATAGATTCAAGAAACTCATCCAAAAATGACATTATATGTGGTAGAATAGTTGTCGTTTTGTCATTCAACACTTTGAACTCGATATCCACCTCTTCAAACTCGCGTTGAAGCTTTGTCAAGTTGGCCTCCTCTTTCTCTGCTAATGGTGCTTTCTTTTGATTCAATTTTTCAATTTTTCTCAGTAGTCTATCCAGATCCTCACGTTTGCGATCTCTCCTTTTGATCAATTTCAAAGTTTCCTTCAACCTCTTTCTCATTGTTTGAATTTTCGGCACTGTGGACTCTAAAAACGTGACGCACTCTCCTTCCAAGTCGTACTTGAGAGCAAAAGTTGATTGCAAGTATTCAAATAATTGTTCGTTCACTCCTTTTATCGTAAACTGCCTTTCCTTTGGATGTACATGAGGCACCTCTTGCTCGGCTTGAAACAAATCAAACTCATGATAGTACTTTTCGATATCTTTGAATTGCAAAGAGTTTGGACCAATAAGTGACTGGAAGTCAAGTGCAACTTTTATATTCACTGACATCATATGAGGTATCAATCGTTTATAAACTTGATTCAATTGAGATATAAGATACCCAAGACCCAGTCTTGCTTGTTTGATATCGTGCTTGTAATTTTTCACAAGTTCATCATCTTGATCGTAATCTCGGTGGTAAAAAGTGACTTTATCCTTGAAAGTGTGGGAGAAATGGGTCACCTCTGACCCTGTCGTCTTGTAAGCCTCTTTTATGTGAGATCCAACATTGGACGAAAACGATTTCAAAGTGTCAACAACCATTTCCGTTGTGGTGAAGATGTTCTTGGAAGAGAAGAGATTTTGGTGTGAATTGAAATCAGGGAAATGTTCGGAGAAGAAGTCATCGTTTGCACAAGGGATAAATCGGGTAAAATAAAATCAGAGAGAAAAGCAGAGATAATGTTCTTCTTGGCAGCCTTCACTGTTTGTAGAGTACAATTACTGACAATGCCTACAAAAGATTCATCTAATACAAGTTACAACGTTACACTAGCAAGGGAATAACTCTAGAACTGATAGAGATAGGTGTCGATATATTGGTAATGGCCTTTATCTGGAGGATCACCGCTACCACCCTATGATCGGCCCATAAGGTGGTAAATTAACTCCGGTTCAAGTAACAAATCTCATATTCAAACAGACCGAATTTGTTGACCAGCAAAACGCACAGTTTCTAGGAACTATTTTTGAGGTACACTATCTGGTATAGCACAAGAGCTCTACGCTGCGTTACCATTTGAGAACATGTCTTGTTGATGCTTGTGAGGAAAGTTCGTTAATATCGACCTTACACTTCTCCTCTTAATGATCCACACTGGACAGAGATATTAATCACAACGGAAGGTAGTCATTTTTGAGTTTGAAGTGGCCAATTCATCTTGAAGAGAGGGCCCGTCCTTGACAAGATTTTGGCCAAGAGTGGCACAGCAGCGTACAAGCTCAAATATACATCTCATTGCAACTATTCTGGATTTTCTACAATCTGAAGAAGTCTAAATGTCTTCTCTGGACAGATATAGAAGTGAAATCTTCATATATGAGGAACAAGGGGGAATGTAATGGTACCCAACCTTCAAAGGTCAAAAAAAAACAGTTGTTGCGGAATTGTTGCATCATCGCTATAGTTTCTTGAAAAATGACTCCTGTCACAGCGACTTGAGCAACTGTTGGTTGTGTGTAGTTTTACTCTAACGGGCATCACTTAATATTTGTTCCATTAAAATGTGTGCATCGCCACCGTCCCTCTCTCTATTCATGAGTAGCAACCAAAAGCAAATAAAAGGAAAAGAAAAATAAAACTGGAAAAGGGAAAAAACGCCAAGTGTAGCAAAGAAGTGAGGTTAAATGGAATGACGTTATGACGTTTGCGATCTCTTAAAAGGGAGAACTACTACTATTACAATGTTGAAGAGATTTGTGAGTACAAGAAGAACTGAATGCAGTATTTGCAGGTGCTTGTGTTTTTGTGAGTGAGTGAGTGAGTGAGTGTTGTGTTGTGTTGTGTTGTGTTGTGTTGTGTTGTGTGTGTGTGTGNGACTTGGTGGGTGTCGCCAAAGCAATGATGCTTAAACAGTAAGTTGTGTAAGTTAGTGTAAGTTAAGTATGATGTAATTGTGTGTGTGTGTGTGTGTATGATCTAATGACACAAATTTGCTCAAATTTTAGGGGTTGCAGGTTATACAGTTTTCTTTAGTTTGCTATTATTCCTTTTACACTCACGCAACCTTTTAACAGTATACTTTGTAGTCACCAAACTATAAATAGCAAAGCATTTGCTCCACTTTTTCTGGTCCAGTCCAATTGCATGCTATTGCACTTTCAATTCAATTGATACTTTACTCACAACTAAAAATGACAAACAAACCACATAAGCTTTTCTACAAAGGAGTCGACAACGATTTCGTCATCTTTGTTGATGACTTTTCGTTATATGAAAAATTCAGAAAGGGAGACACCACCATCCCCCTCATTGACATTGTCTCGGTGTTCAAGGTGTTCATCAACAGGCAAGGTGGTGTTGATGGTATATTAGATGAAGCCTCGAAACAAGATTTGACAAATAACTTCAAGACTAGTAATGTTGATGAAGTCATCAAAGTCATCTTGGAAAAGGGAAGCGATAAACACAATGCTGAAGTTGACAACGGTATCGCTTCGCATAACGACAGTATTGGTGCTGGTAATACTGGTAATTAGTTGTGTGTAATGTCCTCTACCTTTTTAATGCATGCTAATGAATTATCCAACTACAAATCTCTGTTCAGCTTGTAGTGGCAACGATGTTCTGAATAATTTTACTATTTATTTACAATTTGTTTGCAATTTATTCAGCTTGAAATTTATTTACACGTGTATATTTCTGTTGCAGGTGTGGTAAGGAATGTCTTTGCTGGCAATTTGTTTAAAGTGTCGCTCGTTGTTGTAAACATCCATAAGCCATAGCATCACTGTGTACTTGGGTCCCGGGGGCATCTCATCATACTTTACGTGAACTTTACCTTTAAGACACAAGTCGAAACGCAATTTCACTTGAAGGCTAAGTTGCGTCGCAATGTAGTGTATAGCATTTTCTGGATCATCGTAGTCGTCCTTCCAGCACGGAGTTGCATTTTTGGGAGTAAGGCAAAATAAATGGTCAGTATTCAGCTTGTATTCACAAGAACCTTGGTGGGTAACATTAATCAAAAGATCAAACTTCAGTTTCCAAAACTTGTGCTCGACTTCTGATAAGAAGCACAAGATGATTTGGTATTGATCCGAACACGATCTGAACTGCAATTTGATATTTGTTGATAGGTTCACCAGCAACCCATATCGAAACTCTTTGACCATCGATGTATTCAGCAAAGGAATGATGAATTTCGGTTTATACTTTCCAGGCAAATGTCTGTTGATAACCTGATTGTACTCAAGAATGAGAAGATGGGCCTTGTAGAGTACAATTGGCGAGTGGATCATCTCGGGTTTTGAATTCTTTACAAATATAACCGAAGCGAAGCCAATTGCAACTGGACTTCCAAAAAAATTGGCTTCCATATTCAACTTCAGGTGCAAAGGTTCGGAGTCGGGCCCAACAAAGTTTACCAACACATTCAATTGTTTGTTTTCGGTCATGGAAATTCTAGATCCATCAATTTCATCCAATTGATGTGAAATCAGCTCGAAAGCTTTCTCCAAGGTGGCTGCATCTTGACCCAATTTAACAAACGCATTCTTCATTCCTTTGACAAAAAGTTTGTACTTGACAATCCTATCAACCGGCCTTTGGCACAACGACATGAATGACAAATCTTTCCGCTTGATGGAAGCTTGTTGGCTTTCAAGAAAATTCTTGACACCCAAAAAGAATGTTTTTGGAGCTGCTCCTTGATCATGAGGATCTTGTTCATCTCTTTTTTCAATGAATATTTCAAAAGGAATCAACTGATCATAATGAGTGCAGTAAATACTATACCAGAATACAGAAATCCCCGATGCTGCTATGGATTTGGCAATTCTGTTGCATTGGTCGATCAAACTTTGATTCTGGATCCTAATACTTCTCATTTCTTCCAACAATTGTTTGTGGATTGTGATAAGAGCAAGCACGCACTCTTTCGTAATCTGCACCGCAGCAGGAAGCTCTGTTTTGAAATTCTGTACATTTTCCAAGTACAGTATTACCAAAGTGCTGCAATGTGAGATATAATTAGATTCCGTCTGTATAATCTCATCCACTCTCTTGGCTAAATCTTCCTGGGTAACATCAATTTCGGGCGAGAACCGCACTTTGGCTTCAGGTGTAGAGTTTCCAACTATTGAAGAAGATAACGGATTGTATATGGGTAATGGTGATCGTGCTTCATTCAATTTGTCGGTCAAAGGAGATAACTTTGTTGGTGGTGAGATTCGTGTAGTTCTGGGACTGAAAGTCAAGTCACGCTCAAAATAATTTCTATGCTCCTTCGTCAAATAAAGTGGTAAAGTTCTTGACCCAGGGATCCTGTGTGTGGTCATTGCTGAAAGGTGAATACGCTTGTCTAATGAATGGTATCTGGTGTGGACTATTCTTTTTTTTTTTTTTTTTTTTGGTATTCTAGTTTTGCAACCAACTGTGAACTGAGGTTTTCTGTTTGGTTTCTAAAGCGGAAGTGAATTTGCGGAAAAGAAGAAGAAGAAGAAAAAAAAAAAAAAAAATAAAATAAAATAAAATCGAAAACCTCAATGGCGAGTGAATCATCTTTATCCCAACAAGATTAAATGAGTTCAAGAGCACTAAAGAAATTAGGCGGAAAGAGTCTCGAGGATGAATTAAAGAAATTGGATATAAATGTCTCTTCTGAAGAAGAGAAAGAAGAGGCTGCTCAAAACGAAGCTCAACCGGCAGCAAACCAACCCAAGTTCAATGCCTTTGCATTTCTCGGTGGAGATGGCGATGACGAGGATGACGAAGAGGATGAAGAGGAACACGCTGAACGGGAACACATACAACAGGAGAAAAAACCCGTGCAAACGCCAAAGGTTGTTGAAAATTCAAAAAAGAAATCCAAAAAGAAAAAGAAGGCCAAGAACAAATCAAGGTCTTCCACGCCTGCACTAGAAGAAGAGAAAGAAGACGAAGATGACATTGATAAGATTCTCGCGGATGTACAACGACAAGAACAGGATACTAAGCCGACAGTAGAGTCTTTTGATTTCGAAGAAGAATACGACGCGACGTTGGAGCCGTCTGAAGTTTACGATTCTAACTTCAAGAATTTTACCACAGAGAGGCTCAAAAAGTCGCTTCCATTGTTATCCATTGGATCATACAAAAACCTCGATCAGGATCAGGAATACAAAAATTTATTCGGCAACTCGTTATCTACGGAATTAATTGAGGATGCAAATGCAACTACATCATTGGCAATCTCACCAGAAGTACTACAACAGTTTAAGAAATTGGGCAAAATGATACGGAATTGGGGTGGAAAAGATCGTAGGAGTATCCCTGGAACGTCTCGGAAGTTGCTTTTGTCCAAGATTCGAGATGATTGGTTCCCCACACAGTTGAAGAGTGTTACGATGGAGGAGTTGACCGAGGATAAGGTGTTTGAATCACTCAAGTATAAGGAGGATGATATCGATGACACCGACTTACACGTCAAAGTGTCTAAGGAAAGAAACTTGGGAGTGAGATACTTTAGATTCAACAAAGTGAATGACACAAAGAGTAGGGTCGCAAATACCCGTTTCTATGCATCGACTGTGCTCACACCTGACCCAGAGTCGCTAATGCAATTGTTACAGCAACACCCATACCATCAAGAAACCTTGTTGCAAGTGGCAATGGTTTTACTAAGACAAGGTGACAACAAGGCCACTTCGAACGCGTTAATAGAGAGATGCTTGTTTACGTTCGATAGGAGCTTTCATAAGACTTTTCATGAGTTAGTCTCGTCAGCGGAAAATGGATTAATTAGATTACCTTATGAGTCCTTTGCCAACAGACAGTTTTACTTGAACTTGTTTAGATATATTGTGTCCTTGGGTGAGAGGTCACTTTTTGAAACAGCATTGACATTTTGCAAATTTTTGATGAGTTTGGCACCAGCAGAGGATCCCATGGGTGTCCGTTACTTTATTGACTTTTATTGCATAATGAGTGAAGAATACCAATACTTGATCCAATTATCGAGGTCTCCTTTGGTTACATCCTATACAAGATGGTACACCCCAGGAATTGCATTCTCAACTGTGTTAGCTTATCTTAAGCTAAACCAAATCAAAGATGCAGAAAAGGAATTACAAAGGGCTTTTGAGGCGTACCCCTTTGTTGCATACAAACTACTTACTGATATTGCTCTCTCTAGCGTTGCCGGTGTCAAGGAATCTTCTTTCAAAGTTACTAGCGAAATAGCAGTCAGTGCCGAGACTTACTTGGTGAGAGCAAAGTTATTGTGGCAAAATCATCTCGACTTTTTGTCTACTAATTTGGAGAACCTTTTCAAGACAAAGTACAAGCCAGCATCGGTGACATATACTAGTTCACTTCTTGGATTGCTAAGTCTTGGAAGCAACCTTGACGAAGCATCAAAAGAGCTCCCATTTAATTTGATAAGGTTTGCCATTTTATCCGGAGAAAACAAAATAATGGCAAAGCTACCCAAATCCATATGGAACAGAGACGATTTGTTTGAGTTTGACGTGTTACCACCAAAGGACGAGGTGGATAGATTCTTTGTATCAAAGAAAATTTGTGATTCGTTGATTGATTATGTCGATCAAAACCTACTTGGAGCCATAGTACAAGAGAATACACGACGCGGTGACCTACAAGTGAGCCCAGAAGAGGTGGCTGCATTGGAAGCAGCGTTTCGTGAAGCTGAGCATGTAGATGAGTAACTTGTGCAGCAGTATGGATAATTTAGTGGTTTTAGATTTTGTACTCTCAATGTATGTGCTCAACATGTAATTCGCGACTTTTGGAAATTTTTCTCTGTTGACATAGAGCTTTTGCCAAAACACCCTTTTCCATCGACAATACCAATGATTGCGATTGATTTTGCATTTGAGCAATGGCAATGGCAGTACCAGATATCTACTACGTTCTTCATATTTGTCATTCTACCGGCATTGTATTACATTTATTGTAAATATGTGACGTCTTCCCCAAATTCATACAACAAGATCGAGTCACCCATCAAGGTGACATTTCCGATACCAGAAGAGGCAAGACCACATTGGAAGGGGAAACGGTTGTACCCAAAGCCCAGTCTTTCTGTCAGTGATGACCACACAAAAATTCAATGTTACTGTCCCGCCACTGGACAAGATTTGGGTGTGTTCACTGCCACGACCAGAGATCAAATGGATGAGATGATTGCAAAGGCTAGAAAAGCACAAAAGGAGTGGAGACATAGCTCATTTACAAGTAGAAGAAAGTTTTTGAAAACCTTGGCTAGATTCATATTGGAGAATCAAGAGAACATTGCTCGTGTTGCTTGCCGAGATTCGGGAAAGACAAAATTGGATGCTTCAATGAGGGAGATTATGGTCACTTTGGAAAAAATCAATTGGATTGTTGCTCATGGTGCCAAGGTACTTAGACCTAGTCAAAGACCTGGCCCTTCCAATTTTCTTTTGGGCTTTATGAAGAATGGCGAGGTGAGATACGAACCGTTGGGAGTTGTTTCTGCCATTATATCATGGAATTATCCATTCCACAATCTCATGGGGCCTATAGTTGCGGCTATTTTCACTGGAAATGCCATTGTTGTCAAGTGCTCGGAGAATGTAGTTTGGTCAAGCACATGGTTTGTCGAAATGTGTCGTGCAATTTTGAGGGCATTGGAATTGGATGAAAATTTGATACAGTTGTGTTATTGCTTTCCAAAGGATGCTGACTACTTTACATCTCATCCAGGTTTGGACCACATCACATTCATAGGATCCAAACAAATAGCTCACCATGTGGTTTCCAATGCGGCAAAACAATTGACTCCATGTGTTGTGGAGCTAGGCGGAAAGGACTCGTTTCTTGTATTGGACGACGTTAAGGATTTGAATGCATTGTCATCAATCATTTTGAGAGGGACTTTTCAAAGTGCCGGACAAAATTGCATTGGAATTGAAAGGGTGATTTGCTTGCCAAGGGCTTATGAGGAGTTGGTAAAGATTTTGTCGAGCCGTATAAAGAGTTTTAGAGTTGGCTCGGACATTGATCAGTTAGATGAGATCGATATGGGTGCTATGATTTCCGATAATCGTTTCCAACAATTTCAGGATTTGATTGATGATGCAACTTCAAAAGGAGCCAAGTTGATGTACGGAGGCAGGCCATTTCAGCATCCAAACTATCCACAGGGCCACTACTTTGGACCCACAATGTTGATTGATGTTGACCCGACAATGCGGATCTTCAATGAAGAAGTGTTTGGTCCAATTTTGACCATGATAAAGGCAAAAGACATTGATGATGCCATTGAATTGGCAAACAGCACCGACTACGGCTTGGGAAACTCCATCTTTGGTCGCGACTTCACACAATTGAGTTATCTTGCCGATAGACTAGACAGTGGTAACGTTGCCATCAATGACTTTGCTACATATTACGTGGCCCAACTACCATTTGGTGGGGTGAAAAAGTCTGGATATGGCAAGTTTGGAGGAGAGGAGGGTCTTACCGGACTATGCAATGCCAAGTCGGTGGTTCTGGATAAGCCCTTTTTGCGGATGCTTGGCGTTGCTACGGCCATCCCGCCACCCATTGACTATCCTATCGCAGACGATAAGAAGGCGTGGCGGTTTGTAGAGAACTTGAATATTGCCGGCTACGACGGACGTCTCTGGGCAAAAGTGAAGTCATTCAAAAACTTGGCCAAGAGTTAGCATTTGTATTACTACTTTATGTGTGTATTTATGTATTAGCATTGATGTGTACTTGAGGGTTAGGCGAGATTGTAGCTTCAACCAACAACTTCACCACATCGGACTTTTTCTTCTCAAACTGTTCTTTCAAGCTCTTCAATTCCTTTTCAATTTCAGCTTCGGCTTCCTT